CAGTAGTAGTAGTAGTAGTAGTAGCAGTAGTAGGAGTCGTCGTAGTCGTAGTCGTAGTCGAAGTCGTAGTCGTAGTGGTAGTGGTAGTGGTAGTGGCAGTAGTAGCAGCAAAAACTTAAAATAACGACACACACACATATATATATATGTACATATATATATATATATATGTTACATCTACATATATATATACACATGAACATATACTCTGGTTCTCGTCGTTGGAGAATCCACGGCATTGCCATGTTTCTGATAGCAAAAAGGCCATCACGCTGTATGCGGTAGGAACCCAAGGGTTCCGGCCACACAAGCCGCAGCAGGAGCAGCCGAAAAAATGTACATACATGAAGGCATAAGTAGGATTTTAATTCAACTGATTTAGAGCCTCACCGGGCAACATCAAATGCACACACATACACAAAGGTATTGTACATACAGATAGACACAAAAACAGCCAGACAGAAAAATGTACAGAGGCGAAAACAAGAGACTGTTGGGCAATGCCGGCTGTGACCACTTCCGACATTGAAGAACCCCTCATAGAACACTAGAGCCTTTACCGAAACCCACCCATCCCCGCCACATACACATACACCCATGCGCACAAACCCACACGTATCCTAAACCCTAAACCCAACACCGATCCGAAGACGTCGGCGTTTTGCAGACGAGTCTTGCTCGGAGCCTCGCTACTGTTCTGCTTCTAGAGCTTCACTGGACAGGTTTATTGGGATTGCTTAGAGTGTAGCCTCTTGAGTCTCTCGAGTGCTTTTACAAAGGTTACCACAACAGACCTATACTTTATGGCTTGGGGGTTTAGCCTTTTGTCATGTGGTTTCGTGGTTTAGCCTGCCCCCCAGATTTAAGAACGGAATTAAAGGAATCCTGATCATCAAGTCACGGAATGGCCTCAAGCACCATCCTTGCCGATTAGATGCTGCCCTTTATCCTAAGTGCTAGTGTAGAAATTCCAGAACATTACAGTCACCCAACAATCTTTAGCCGGAAACCCCAATACCTGCACCATTATCAATCCTGATCTTGCCAAACCTATGTAAGTCACAAGCCGCGTAATCCTCCTAGTCGTCGGTATTTCCTTCAAAGCACTACATGCTCTGGAAGCAGTTGATCGGACGTGGGCGTGAGAAGAAGCCCTCTTTGAGGACTTCTACCAATGAGCCGGTGCATGTGGGGTCGCCCAAACGAGGGAACGATGGATTTGTGCCAGTCTGTTTGTAGAACTCTATGCCCTGGTTAAGCTTTGCATGATGATGTTAGACCTCACAACCCTAAGACCTGCGATACCCTGTAGTAGCCCGTCGTACCCGTCATAGACTTAGAGTAGTACCTGTAGTCTCGATTGCAGTTCCATGTTGGGTTCACCAGGTTTATGGTAAGGATCCTCTAATGTCAATGTTGGTCAGTTTTGGTTCACCCTAAACCCTAAACCCTAAACCCCTAAACCCCTAAACCCTAAACCCTAATCCTAAACCCTAAACCCTAAACCCCTAAACCCTAACCCCTAAACCCCTAAACCCTAAACCCTAAACCCTACAATGGAGACGATAGGTTCCAGAAGCAGTACCTTTGTTCCATGGACTTTGTGCCCCTGAGCCAAGTGGGAGGTTTAGGGATTGAAAACAAGCATGCGCAGTTTAGGGTTAGGTGTCCCCAAACCTTACACCCTAAACCCCACACGAGTTTCGATTCAAGTTGTATGGGTGCTTCTGGATTAGGAGGACAGCACCTTTGGGCACCCACTGCTCGTTTTCGAGCTTGCAAAAAGCATGTGCTGCGCGCGACGGAGTGGGACCTCGACGGTCAGAAGGGAGTAAAGACAACAGACAAAGGATATCACACTATGGTTTAAGGGTTTAGGGTTTCAGGGTTTAGGGTTCAGGGTTACTACCCGAACACAAAGTATGGTTTTTTTGCGATCCAGCTTCAAACTAATGTCAAGCGGTATGCAAAAGTACCCTCCCACTTTAGGTATGTGGGAGCCTCTGTGCAATCACATGTGAGCCCATGTGGCTTGCAAAACTTTCTTGATGCTCCGCTCTTGATGGGGCGACTGCAGGAGGTTAGATGCAACCCCTACAGTGGACTCTACCAGACATCTCCGCTTCTGACAACGTGCCTTCAAGGCATCGGTAGTGTTGATGGTGGTGATTGGTGCGACTCGCGCCGGCAATGGTGGTGGTGGTGGTGATGGTGACGGTGCTGGATGCGGTGGCGGCGATGTATGCAGTAGTGAGTGGTGGTGGTCGTGGCGGTGGCGGTGGTGGTGGTGGTGGTGGTGGTGGTGGTGGTGGTGGTGGTGGTGGTGGTGGTGGTGGTGGCGGTGGTGGTGGTCGCGGTGGCGGCGGCGGCGACGGCGGTGGTGGTGGTGGATGATGCAGCAGCGGTTCCGGCGATAATGCATGTTTGCGGGTGGCAGGTTGGTGCAGACGGCGGAGATGGTGCCACTATTGCAACTGCTTCCGCCCTTGCTGCTTTTGCTACTACATTTCTTTTTGCTGGTGCTCTTTGAAATGACAATGTTGTGCCTGGGTGTAGTCCTGACCACCCCAATAAGCCACAGAAATATAAGGTTAAACTTTCCGAGTCCTACTAAACTACAAGAATCCAACAAGTTTAAAGGTTGGGTATTGGGGATCTTAGTAAGACTCTTTGAAGGAACCCTAAACCCAAAGCACTCAACCTCTTTTAAAGGAACCCTAGGACCCCCTCTAATGAATGAGTATTGCCCAGAGACTCCAAAACCCCTTAATTCAGGAATATACCTTAATTTATAGTAGGATCCCTAATATGATTTAAGGAATATTATCCTTAATTAAGGGATATTGAAGTCTCTGGGTGGGGATCTGCAGTAGAAGCCCAAAAGTTGGAAACCCTATAGCCCCAATCCTTAAGAGTAATGTATAGGGAATCCCAGCACTATTTGGCCTTATTCAGGTTTCCAACTTTTTGGGGTTTACTGTAAGCGTTACAGCCCGGATCTGAAGCCGATAGCTCTTGGGATCGCGGGCTGGCTTGGGGACTCAGCTTCTCATGTAGGAGACTGAGAAACCTTGGGCCTAAGGGTTCCTTTAAAGGGGTCTATAAGGGTTACTATAAGGGATCTATGAGGGTACTAGAAGGGTATAATAATGTAGGAGCCTGAGTAAGAAACCCTGGGCCTTTATTGGGGTTCCTTCTATGAACAATACCCCTGAGGGTCCAAGTAGTCCTTATTTATGGTTTTTGCTACCTGAACAGGCCCTAAAGTCCTACAATAGGGCGTACTTGGACCCTCTGGGTACTATTTTGGGGATATAAGCCATACGTCCATATTCTCGGTGTTACGCATGAATAAATCTGGCTCAAACCTGAATTCCCTTCTCCACGGGAGGTTCCATGGGCGCTGCAAACTAGTAGCAAGCCTGAAGCTACCCCTAGAAGCCAAAGGTAACTGGGCCTCTAGGGTGTGCCATCGAGGGCAGATGCTGTAACACAGGTGCCTGTTTACTTAGAAGACAGGTTTGGGGCATCGAATAAGAACAATACTTTAATTACGGGTATTATTGCTACTATCGCTACTCTTACTACTTTTTATGATACTGGTATTATTCCGACTCCGACCTGTTGTAACTCCGAGACCGTATGCTTGAACACAAGTCCGGACTTCTGTGCTTGAAGGGCACCTTGCTATTTTCTAGGATGCCCAGTAACCTGGGAATAAAAAGGGCTCCCTCTTTGGTATTGGGTAACCTTATAAGGAACCCAGGACTACAAAAATGGAATAAGGGTACTACTGGGCATCCTAGCTTTAAGGGTTCAATATGGTTTAGGGTTTGGGGGGCTTTGGGTCCCACTTAGGGTGCGTAGAGTTCAAGACCCTAAATCCAAACCTTAAGCCTTAAACCCTAAATTACTAAACTCTGAACCCTAAATTACTAAACCCAAAAGCCGAAATTACTAGATTCTGAACCCTAAATTACTAAACCCTGAACCCTAAAACCCCAAACCATAAATCCTAAACCTTAAACGCAAAACGTTGGTGAGACTAAGCCCGCAAGCCCATACTACCACCCGGAAGCCTGAGGCGAGAGGAAAGTTTTTATAGGTTGCTATATGGGAGTTTCCGAAAATGGGGGGCCCTAATATAGTACCCAAATAGTAGGATCCTTATAACAAGGACCCCAAATATGCCACCCCTCATGTTCGGAAACTCCCATATAGGTTGCTAGGGGGACTCCCTAGGGGCTGAACAAAGGGTACCTTAAGGGCTGCCTCAAGTGCCTCTGGTTTTGGTTAAGTTTAGGGTTTGGCACCTCAGGGTTCCGGTTTGTGGCATTCTTGATTACAATTCTGACTGCGATGGGCACGTAGGTTCAAGGGTGATGCTAAGACCAACAATCCCAAAGAGCCCTAGGCACCCAGGATTCCTTGGGAACTTGTGCATCCTGTAAACGATAACCAAGAAACCTGAAGCAGGGACAGCTTCAGCAGCACCAACTAGGAAAGCCAAAGCATGTTCTGAAATCAAGCAAGCCTACACTTAGGCAGAAATCAGGTTCTGGGGTTTAGGGTAAACAGCGGAGCTGCAAATACCATGAAATAAGATACTGCTTGCACACTCTAGACCCCGACTTGGGTACTGTTTGTAGATATACAGATAAAATTGGGGAAACAGGACAGCACCTGTCCTCCACTGCGTGACCCAACATTCTAGGATCCACATGAACAGCCCACGATAGACTGGGCTGATACGCAAAGGCTCCATGTACCCATATAGTAGGTACTCGGCCTTAAAGTTTAGGGTTTAGGGGTGCTGGGGTTGGTAGGCAACAGCGATTTAGGATTTAGGGTTTAGGGCTGAGGGGGGTAGGAGGGTTTACCTGGACCCCAACAGTATGTATAGAAGTACACATTTGGGGACCCCTTTAAGGCCCTAAACCTGAAGGCCTAAGTACCTACTATATGGGTACAAGGAGCCTTAGGGATAGGGTAGTGCCATCTCAGACCTTCTGGTTGGCCATCTCCGAAACGTTTGAGTAATAGGAGATTCGGCGCCTGAGGCGTGGGGCTTTTGGAAAGAGGGTTTTGAGCTTAGGCTTTAGGGTTTTGGGTGTACGGCTTTGGGTTTAGGAAGTTTAGGCTTTAGGGCTGTGGGTGTACTGTTTAATTAGGGCCTAGGCGCAAGATTCTAACGAGGTTTGTGACTCCAACAACCGCTTGCCAACCACCGCAGGTTCGTGAAATCAAGATGCGGCAGGGATTCATTGGGAGTTTCCGAAGATTAGGGTACCTTATCTTGGGGTCCTTATAATAAGGATCCTGCTATTTAGGGTATTAGGCCCCCTATATTCGGAAACTCCCATTGGTGTGAACTCTGAAGCAACATCCAGCAAGGCGAAAATTGAAGCCGCGCTTGAGCCAACATCCTGACAAGTAAACGCCACTACCTTACAAGGGGTTGTCAAAGGGATTCTCATAATGCGACCCTCACAGAAAGCTTAAATCAGGCGTCTACATTAGCTTACGGCATTTCCGCTAATGCAGGGATTTGTCCATCACTGAGGCAAGGTTTACATCTCAAATCGTAACAGGTTTGGGGTAAACCCTAAACCAAAACCTAAACTCCTAAAGATTATCGGAGTTCCTGAGATTCGGAAACAAAAGCGAACTGCTTGGCAAGGGTTTTCAAAACCTGAACCTAAACCCTAAACCCTAAACCCTAAACCCTAAACCCTAAACCGTTGAAGCCAACCTTCTGAACGCACAGAACAGAACTCCTGAAAGCCTGAAAGCCTGAAACCTCTGAACCCTACTTGGAGGGTCGGGGGACTTAGTAAGTAGGTAGTAAGTAGACTTATAAGTACCCTAAAAGGGACCCTAATTGGGGTTATGGTACTTATAAGTCCCTAAAATAACCAGTTACTAAGTCTCCCGACCCTCCAAGTATACTACCCTGAGCCCCATGAAGCCTGAAGGGCCTTATCGCACTACTTACTACCCCCAATAAGCCACAGAATTGAAAGGTTAAACTTTCCGATTCCTACTAAACTACAAGAACCCAGAAGTTTAAAGGTGTGGTATTGGGATCTAAGTTTACAAGGAGCCTGAAACATCTCCACAAATCCCGATCAAACCAAGTGAAGCCAAGATGAAACCCTCGAACAAAATACTCTACAAGCCTTGCGCAACGAAGTAGCTCTTCGGCCCAACACCTTAACCACCCCTGTTACGAGCAAGCCCTAAGCCCTAAGCCCAGAAGCCTAGGCCTAAACCTTTTTGTAACCCTTAACCCTACACCCTAAAACCTAAACCCCTAAACCTCATTGAATACACCCTATAGATCCCTAAACCCCTAAATCCTAAACCCCTAAACCCTAAACCTTATAGATCCCTACACCCCTAAACCCCTATATAACCCCCCCCCCATAATAAACCCTTGAGCAGCCCTAGGCAAAGGGTCCTAGGGTACTGATACGGTTGATGATATAAATCCTGCATTATCCATAATAAGGAATATACCATAATTCCCATAGTTTAGGGTCCTTAAGGTCATGCAGGATTTTGTCCATCAGCAGTATGGGGACTACTTCCCCAAATCATACTAGCAATTCCTAATATGGAAACCTACTTTCTACCATATTGGTACTTTGGACCCTTTAACGGAATCCTAAACCCTAAACCCTTAAAGGAACCCTAAACCCTAAACCCTTAAAGGAACCCTATATTGGTACTTTGGACCCCTTGGGCTAGGCACTGAGATTCCAGGTTCTGCCCTGCATTGCCGAAGGCGTTGTTGGTCCAACCCTGGACCTCGGAGATGAAAAAAAACGTGGGGCCCGTTTAGGGCTGGGTTTAGAGTTTAGGGTTCAGAGTTTAGGGTTTAGGGGTTTAGGGTTTAGGGATTTAGGGTTTAGGGATTTAGGGTTTAGGGGTTTAGGGTTTAGGGATTCAGGGTTTAGGGATTTAGGGTTTAGGGGTTTAGAGGTTTGGGGTTTAGGGTTTTGGGTTATAGTACTCTAAGGCTCCTAAGGGGGTCATGGGATCTCTGGGGCAGGGTTTGGGCTTTGGGGGCTAAGGTTTGGGATCTCACTACGAGGGTCCAGGAGCATTAGGGTAGGGCTTAAGTCTTAGGGATGTGGGGTTCGGGGGTTGAGGTTTAGGGTCTATGGTTTTTGGGCCGTTGATGGTTTTGATTTTAGGCTTTAGGGTTTAGGGTTTCAGGGTATAGGGTTTAAGTCTTAGGGATTACTACACCCCCCCCCTTAGAACCATAATAAACATCGTATATTTAGTATTCTCTTGGGTTTTGTATGAACAAAAGTAATTCCCAAGGAGACTATAGATTGGGGTTTAGGGGTTCGATCGTGGGGCCCTGGACCTAACACAGGGATATAGGGTTTAGGGTTTAGGGTACCTTTAAAGGGTTCTATGAGATAGTGGACTTAGTAGTTGGATGATTACCTCAAGGGTCCATGTCCCCAAATACTATAAGCTTTGGCTTCAAAGCAGTCTCTATATAGGTACTCTGGGCCAAAGAATGTATACGATCTAGGCACATGGACCCTTAGGCAGCATAGGGCTGTAGGGCTCCTTGCAGGGCTTCATGGCTTCCTATAATGTAGGGTATAAGGGTCCATGTGCGCAGTAGTTTCTACTTAGGCCTTGAAGCAGTCGATATCGATATGTGTATATGGGTGGTTGTCAAAATCAGGGTCCCTTTTTGGGTCCCTAATCGAATACGGCACCTTATATTTAGGGTACCCCCAAAAAAGGGACCTTAATTTTGACAACCACCCATATAAATAACACGGTTTCAGGATGTTCCGGGCTCCGGTTTAAAGATGCTTCAGGCTTGTATAAGGGTTCCTTAAAGGGGTTTAAGTTTTGGGGTTCGTACTATTGGTTGCAAAGGGACCTCTCACAAGTTCTTGAGGTGCTTCCTAAGGTATCATCACCACCATCATGACTTTCGCAACACTATTTGCGCTTTAAGAGGGTTTCAGGGACCTTAGCAATGAAAGCAGGGTTCATTGAGCAAAAATGCTTTCTGGGGCTTCATCCGGATATGGTGAAGTTTTCGAACCTCTCGGACACAGTCATCTACAGTACACCTCGATGCCCTTAAGCCTCACGGCATAATAAGGTGCCAAAAAACTCTACCGCCGCAATAGAGGATCTCTGCATGGAAAAACATACATGCATGCATACATACTTACACAAACACACACACACACATCTATATGTATATATATATATATATATTGAGAATATAGATCTATTGTATATATAAATATATAGGTATTAAAGTATACACATATATATGTATGTACATATGTATATATATATATATGTATGTTCATGTACATCTGCACACATATCTTCGGGTTTAGAGGGAGGGTCTTTGGGTCATCAGGGATTTAGCCAGGATTTCAGGATGCCAAAGCGAAAAGCATCGAAAAGGGCCTAGAGCACAAATCACCACAAGTTAAAAACATCCCTAAACCCTACACCCCTTAACCCCACCTTAAACTACTCACCAAAACCCTAAACCCCTAAACCTCAAATTAATGTAGATCCCGATAACATAAAAAAGCACCTCAACAAGCCCTTTACTTACCTTTGGTTAGTAGGGAGTGGAGGAATGGGGTACAATTATGATGCTGGGAGTGGTGTCTCAAGCGCCTCGCATGCATAGCAGAACAAATTTGTCCAACACTTCAAGCCCTAAAATGTCATCCGTCCTAAACCTGAAAGGTAGACCTCCGACTCCAAACAGCCCATCGCCCCTCGACAAAACGGTTTGGCGCCTAATGATGCGTTGACGGAGCACAGGGTGAGCACCAAAGGTAAGTTAAAAGACCCGAAGAGAGTGGCCTCTCCAATCCCGAGCGGCGAGATGAGCGATGTGGGTAACGCGAAGACTCATGCCGATGATGTCCTTGGCGCTCAGGGCTTGGGGTTTAGGTTAGGGGTCCTTGCAAGGGTACTATGGAGCCTTCGGGTTAGGGTTTATGCCGATGATATCCTAGGCGTTTGGGGTTGAGCGGGGTTCAGGTACAGGTTTTGGGTATGGGGGTTTAGAGTCTAATGTAGGAACCTGATTAGGAAACCCTGGGCCTTTGTTAGGGTTCCTTACATGAACCCTACTATTTTGGGGATTATAGGCTCGGGATTTCTTGATCAGGTTCCTACATTAGGGGCTTATAGGGTTTAGAAAACAGGGATGTGGAGGGGCCAAGGGTGCCGTAAGGGTACAAAGCGCTGTAGGGTTTAGGGTTTAGGGATAACTGCTCAACTGTTCAGGGCTTTGGGGTTTTAGGCGTTCACAGGGTTGAGGGTCAATTTTGAGGCTTTAGGGCTTAAGGTTGAGGGTGTGGGCTTTAGGAGTAGGAGTTTAGATATCTTGCGATATTTAGCATGAGGTTTGGTGGTATAGCCGAGTATAGTATACAAAATCATATCAAGTTATATAATGTGGACTAGAAGGGATCTTCTGCACGAGAAACAGCAGTCTCAGCACGTTTAGTGTGTAGCAGAGGCTCTGTTTAGTTTAGTTAAAGAAGTCACTAATTAGTCTATATACTATTCTGAAGTGCAAAGCGTGCCATAAACTCCTACAGGATGATACAGTATGCATGTAATCCTCTATCACACCCCGAAAAGCCCTACACTACTGGGGGTCTTAATAATTTCCCATACTATTTTTTGGCAGGGTCCTTATCTATAAATATAGAACACGTCAGAATAATATACCAAAACTCTCTTCTAATTAAATGTCCCTATGTTGGACTTGATGCCCAGCGCAGAAGAAGAAGGCCACTATCTGACACTACTGGAGGTCGCAAGCTCCCCTGAGGGTCCATGTATCCACATAGTATATACTCGGGACTACATTAAAGCCAAAGTATAGACTAGATGAGTACATGGACCCTTAGGGCTCTGAAGTGCAAAACCAGTGTCGCCCTTGGAAACCGGCCCTCGCAGCTGCATCAAGCCGCGGAATACCTGGAGGGTTTAGGATTCAGGGAGTGTAGGGAGCTTAAGAGCCTAGACCCAAGAGTAACCTAGGAATAAAAAGGGTGCCCTTTGTGGTTTAAAGGGGCTTATAAGGGAACCTGAACCCTTAAAAAGGGAATAAGGGCCTACTCTAGGTCCTAGGAGGGTTTAGGGGTTTAGAGTGTTGGGTTTAGGGAGTTGAGGGGACCTTGGGTTTATGGAGTTTAGAGTTGAGGGTTCATGGTTTAGGATTTAGGAATCAAGGGCTCATGGTTTCGGAGTTTGGGGTTCTAGAGTTTACGGAATTCAGGGTTTAGGATTTAAGGCCTCTGGAAGCCCAAAAGGTCCAAAGTACCTGTATAGTAGACTGTAGGGTCTCTATATATCAGGTAACTACTATTCTGTTTTGTGGAAGTACCCCCCCCCTAACAGTACGTTGGGACCCTTTGGGAAGGTGCGGGATTCCGTCTAGGGTGTAGGAATGGAGCTCAGGATTCAAGGCAAAGAAGACATAGGGAGAGAGGGAAAAGACCGGAGAGGGAGGGTGCGGAAAGAGCAAGAGAATGACAAAGAGAGTCAGATATCAAGAGACAAAAAACCCGAAACAACAGTGTAGGAAAATACGAAGGGCAAAGGAATGTGACCAGAATGTTGAGGCACAGGTAAGCATACAAAGCCCACTTGCTTCTTGTCTGGGCCACGGTGGAGAAGGTGCTTGCTGACATACATCTCGGGAACTCCACACTCCCAGTTGAGCGTTAAGCCTCTACTACCGCTGCTTTCGTACTTACTACTAATACTGGAACACACCTGGTAAGTTATATATATATATATAATGATATCGATTACCAATGTTGCTACTCGCTAGTGCTACTTTCATGGCAACCATGACTGCCACCAGTGCAGCATACCTCCTGCCATTCACGCAGCTACTGTTGCCACGACTGTGCAAGACCCTCGCCTCCTTTGCCTTCAGTCCACTGTCTTCCCAGCACGTCTTGCTAAACAGCATGATTTAGGTACGGCCCTTACAGTAAGAGTCTATAACAGGGCTATTACTAAGGTCCTGATGTATCTATATTCTGGATACTATTCAACTCTTACTGAGTGGGGGCCGTACCCAAACATGATGCATTCCCAGTGTCAAATCCACAAAGTGCGCGCTCACCAAGGCTCACCAAAACTTGCACGGAGCCTTGTTACTGGAATCTATAATAAAAACGCTGCACGACCCTACTTTTAAACGACGGCAGCCATCATTCCAGAAACCCATAAACCCGAGGCCCTTATAATAATATAGGAGCCTTAATAGTTAGAATAGGGTTTTGATGCCAAGTATACTATACTTATCATAAGGAACCACAAAATAGTGTAGGTAATTACCAACGCCCCTATATCCCTAAATCCCTAGTATAGTCGAAATAGTACAAGTGTGTATTTAGGCCCCTATATTATCATCTCTTTTCGGAGCCCTTATCGAACCCTTTCAGGAATTGCTCCGGAAGGCCTCCTCGGTGCTGAGAGAGCCGCCCATGTCCTTTGCGATGCCGGTCGAGTACATAATTTGGGGGCCGTAATAATTACCTATACAACTTTGGGGGATTAAAACAGGCTCCTTTAAGGGATACTATAAGAGATTTGGTGGTATAGGTGCCTTAATCCGAAAAATAAGAATAGTATAATGGGCCCGGAAACCCTAATCTAATTATTAAGGCCTCTATAGTAGTGTGCTGGCTGTTGGGCCTTTGTGTCAGCCAAAGAAACTGTGAGGGTTCCTTTAAGGCGACTCAGGAACCTAGAGTACATCCAATTCCCCAAGGGTCCAAAGGACTCTGAAGGGATAAAGGGCCGTGGGTGTGGGGGAGGGGGGGGGACATGTTTGGGCTGTTTTGGGTTGTTCTCTTCCTCGTGCTCCACAAACCCTGAGGGTCCTTTGACCTTATAATGAGGTACTTGGGTTTAGGATGGAGGTTATGTAGGTTAGGATTTTGGAGAGCATATGATTATTGGGTACTTGGACCCTTGCGGATTGGGATTGCTTGGAATGGGTAAACTCTTTTCGAGGATGACCAACCTTGAACAAACCCCCAGACTCCCAGGCGCGGAAACGCACAGGCTTCAAGACGGGGCGTGGTTTCAGGCACTTCGCGAAATGGCTTAGGGTATCTGCAAAGGTTCAGGTCAGGAATAAAACACAACCATGGGTTTACGGCTGTCAGGGTCTGGGGTCAACACAAACAACGGACGAACACACAGTTTAAGGTTCCATGTTCAACCGATCAATCTCGGAAGTGAAGAACTCGTCATCGAAAACTCGTACCTGGCTGGGTCTAATTATATTGCTTCTGCAGGCTGTGGCTCAGGATAAGCATTGCCTGCAGTTCCGAGCCATGCACACGAATGCACAGAGTTGTTATTTAGGGTCGAAAGGTTTTAAGACTTACGCTTACGGCGACTCAAATGATCTTCTGGGCATGCGGCTGCGTCCATAATGTCGAAGAGCCTTGGGCACGGACACACGCAACACCAACCTTTCAGCATCGACTCCCAACACCCTAAACCCCTAAACCCTAAACCCCTCAACTCCTAAACCCCAAACCCAACAACCCTAAACCTCTCAACTTCAAAACCCCTGAACCCAAGAACCCTAAGCCCTAAACCCTTCAACTCCTAAACCCCTGAACCCAAAAACCCTAAACCCCTCAACTCCTAAACCCCGAAACACCAAAACCCCACACCCCTCAACTCCTAAACCCTAAAGCCTGAACCCTAACCAAAGCTTCGGTCTAGGGCCGACAAGCCGAGGAAGGGCAACAGACCAAGAAGTCCGAATCACCTTCTAAGCACTCTTTTGCGTGTACTACATGCCCAAACCTTGCAAAATCCCTGAATTAAGGAATTTACCTTGAATCGAATTAGGGATCCTACTATAACTTGCGGTATATACTCCTTAATTAAGGAACTTTGGAAGGTCTGGGCAGATTCCTTTCAAACGATTGCCAGGAGCAAACCCGGTGTCTTTAAGGGTACGAACGTCAGGAATAGTTCGCAACACAAGGCTTCGGCTGTCGCTGACCTGAGAGAGTCATACACAACAGGTTGCTCGAAGGCATAAGATTCGGGTTCGGGTATTTTGGGTTTTGCTTGATGCTTCTGACCTACAAACCCTTTGCTGCACTCGTATACAACCTGTAAAGCCCTCAAAACTAATCCCTAAACCCCGACACTCCACAATAGAACTCGAGAGGCATGGATTTGTTGGTGACATCGATGTCGGCTTCCTGGACTTTGAAGCAACAAGGGAGGAAACACGCTGAGACTCTCATGTCCTAACGGTTCGTTTAAGTAGATTTAAACGTTTTTGGTTCACAAAGGAACAGCTCCAAACAACACGTGAAAAGCATTGTAACTTCATAATGGTTCTGTTGTGTTCCTCTAAGGAACAGCTCCATACAAGTATTAGAAGTATGGTCATTCAAATGGCTGCCTTTACGGACCAGTTCCACAACCAAGTACAAAAGCGTAATGTACGGGCCTTAATGATTACATATACATTTTGGGGGTTTCCTTGTTGTAAGTATAGTATAATGGGCCCCAAATCCCTGTTGTAATTGTTAAGGCCCCCATCATAGTAACCTTCCGGTAACCCCTATAGTAACCCTTATAGGACCCTTTTACGGGAACCCGATTCAGAACATTAAGGCCCCGAGAAGTATCCTTGGCTGACTTCTGAACTCCCTCCTAAAAGTCAAACTTTTAGCCTCCTTAATATAGTTCCTATAAAAGACCCAAAACGTTGAAGTCCTAAGAGCCAACCAGAAGAACACCAAGCGTGTAAAAGCGGACTACTCCAAATCCAAGCACCTTAAACTCTGAAACCCGAAACCCCTAAACCCTTAAACCCTCAAACCCTAAACCCCAAACCCTAAAACCTTAAACCCTAAACCCTAAAACCCTAAACCCTAAAAGCGTGCAACTCCAAATCCAGGCTTCTTCGAGGACAGAAATGAACTCGGGATCGGCGAGCCACACCTCAGCTTGCAGGGCTTTAGGGGTTTAGGGGTTCAGGGGTTTCGGGTTTAGGGGTTAGGGGTGTAGGCTTTAGGGGTTTAGGGTTTTAGGGTTTAGGGGTTTAGGGTTTAGGGGTTTGGGGGTTTAGGGTTTAGGGTTTAGGGTTTTAGGGTTTAGGGGTTGAGGGTTTGGGGGTTTAGGGTTTGGGGGTTAGGGGTTTAGGGTTTAGGGGTTAAGGGGTTTAGGGTTTAGGATTCAGCTTGGGTTTGTTTAGCTTTCAGGGTTTCTGTTTGGTGTCTAGTAGGGAATGGGGGACTGGATCCCTAGAGTAGTCCCTCTATAATCCCCAATAATCGTTTCCATAATCCATTAGTCGGAGGGATGAACTGTTGTGTTGTTTTTAAGGTTTAGGGGTTTGGGGCTTAGGGTTTAGGGTTTTGTTTTTGGAGTTCTTGGGTTCCTTCCAGTATTCGTATCAGCCCTGATGGTAACATACAAAGTCGCATACCACTACTCCTTCGGGCTCCTTAGTAAAATTATACGCTAGAGGAGCCCGAGAACTTTATTCAAATGGTTACGCCCGGGTGCTAAAACAGAACAACCTTTTAAGGAGCCCTTAAAGGAACCCACATGAGAGGCCTTTATGCCAAATCCTAAATCCTAAGCCCACCTACACCCCCAAAGGCCTAAAACACTAAGCCCCAACAACCTTATGTGCCCGTCAGGGGGTCCTTGCAGGCGTCCTTCAAGTGTTGTATAGACTGTTCCTGGGGTTTACTTTGAGCCCCCTAGACCAACGGCAAAAGCAGTTCCAGTCCACCACTAGATACTAGAAGATCATTCTCAAACCATTTGAAACCTTGTAGTAACTCATTACAGAGACCCCTTATTTTCTAAGTTCAGGATCTACGGCTTCAGGCTTTTCGGATTTGAGCGTGTCGAGGTATACGGCTACCATGTAAAATCCTACATTTCTGAGCTCCTTAAAAAGTTCCTGTATGTGTATTATATATAAATAAATAAATAAATAAAGTACTGCGAAAGGGGGGGGGGGGCTTAAGGTAGAAGGGGTTGAAGGCGTCTAGGTTGGGACTGCAGGGTTTTGGGGCTGAAGAGGTGCAGGGCTAAAAGCCCAAGATCTTGTTCTAATTATTCAGGCCCTAACGATGGATAAGCACCCGAGAACACCCCCCCAAACAGTCCCAATAGATGCTTTTATGAACGCTATAGAGATCTACTTCTAATAAGCGCATGAGCTAGTCCCTCGTTCTGTGATGATAAAACCCGAAACCGTCTTCTGGAGCAAAGCGGCTAAAAACGCATCCCTGCTGATGACCTTGGACGCTGGGAAAGGCCGTCCCCCATGGGCTCTTCTTGAAGAGGGCCCTATGGTGATTTCCAAAGTAAAGCGTTTTAAAATGGGGTGCTGTCAAGGGGCTTAGACAGTACCACTGTATGGCGAAGCAACTTGTTTGCGTATTGTCTGCATTGGCACCTACATAAAACCTACAAGGGGGCAGATACCATTGCTAGTTATTCTGACCCCTATTCTGGGATCTTCCGGAACTTGGGGTTTGGGCTTTCATGGTCAGGGCTTCTCAAATCTAGTGCTTGCAGGGTTATGGCTTTTGGGTTTAAGGTCTAGGGCTAGGGTCGTTTAGGGTGTAAGGTGGTGAGTTCTGCTTCTAAGTTTCCCGATATCTCCATAATATTCGTGGTACCTCTTTTGGGGCCGGGAGTGTTCAGTTTCAAGAAGGAGACGCTGAATGAAAGGACAACGGGATACAGAGAATGCTCTGCCTGAGAAATCCTTAAGGGAGGGGGTACAAGGGAGGTAATCCCTATCTCCCAAGACACCCTTAAGGATCCTACAAGCAAACCATGCCCCCCCAAGCCTTACTTTGAATCTCATTGAAGCCAACAAACCCTGGACCCTAAATCGCAAACCCTTGAAGCCCTATACATATTCCTAACAAACAGCGCATATACGGAGCCAACTTTAGAATCCGACGACAACCGAAACCCCAATCATAAAAACCTCAGCACTAGTTATGGGCGTCGGCTTGAACGACGTGAGAATTCGATGCTGATGTCGTCGTCGGTGGAGATGCTGCTGATGGCAATGGTGAATCCAACGGATGCACTAAGCGTTCTACTGCGACTGCGATGCTAATGCACAAACTACAGGGCGCTGAAAAGACAGAATAGAGTTGTGGGGTACATTGTAAACCCTATTCCGAGAAGGCCTCCGGAGGAAGCATGTTACCATGTATTCCGACCTTTATTTTCGCACATCCTCCGATTCTCTTCGGAGCGGCGATGCGGTGCATAACCAAAACGCCAGGATCTACACGCCCACCCCAATAAGCCATAGAATTGAAAGGTTAAACTTTCCGATTCCTACTAATTAAACTACAAGAACCCAAGAAGTGTAAAGGTTGGGTATTGGGGAGCTAAGCTACCTCTTCGGGAGGAATTAAAGTCGAAAGTCCGGATTCGCGTGCATCCAGAAAGCGATTCGGCTCAGTGAACGGACCCGCTGTGGCGAAGAGAGCCGCCACCTACTTCGGGAAGTCTCGAGGCCGCGGCAAAGACAACCACTCCGCAAGACCAAAGGTCACACTTCTGAAGAATATACCCTGACTTCCGAGGAACATCGCCTGGCGTCGGTGCCAGGGTCCGACGAGGTTGCACGAGGAGCATCCTCCACACTCCCATCCAGGCGGCCACATGGCCCCACCCGGGCAGCTGGCCGATGATGCCAAGAATTGCCCGGGAGCTCTTGATGTGGCCGGCGTGCCACATCAACATGGGGGCGGGGTGGAAGCCGAAACACTCCACCGCCCGGCCGTTCTGGACCGGTAGCAGGCCGGCGGGGTTCCAGAACCCCCAATAGTCGCCGGCATTGCGGGCGGTATCCGTGAGTTGCTACCATGGCGCGGCGCTTCGTGGCCGGGGCCAAGTCCGGGAAGTCGCACTCTTCTTACATGGTTTGAGGTTCAGGGTTTAGGGTTCGCAATTTGGGTTTGGCAATCGCCTAAGGTTGCCACCCTAATGCTCATACCCCTGACCCCCTATGACTTGAAGCCTTTGGCTCTGCAGAGAGTCAAGCATCACTCCTAGGAGCGATGAAAAGCCCTAGTAAGTCATAACTCCTAAGCCCTAACCCTAACCCCTCAACTCTAGAAGCCCAAAAATAGCAGCTCTTAGAGCAACCGTCAAAGCCAGAAACCTCAAGCCATCTTAACCCCCGAGCCCAGAAACCCGTGAATCCTCACGCTTCCTTTCAGGGTGTCTGTCAGGGCACCTTCACGGATCCGTTTAGATAAAGCTTCCTGTCAGGATTTAGAGTTTAGAGGTTTAGGGTTCAGGGGACCAGGGTTCAAGGTTCAGGAAGTCTGGCAGATTAGGCCTTAGGGTTTCGGGTTTCAAGCTTCCTTTAAGGTTCCTTCAAGGGTGTCTTTCAGGATTCCTTGGCAGCTCGAAACCCTAGACTCTATAAACTCTTTAAGCTTCCTTTCAGGGATCCAAAGACAGCTGGAAACTTCCTTTGAAGCTTGAAGCCCCTTGCTGTCTTCTGAACTCCTCAAAAAAGTCACTCTTAGCCTCCTTATTTACAGTTCATATAGAAACCCCAAGGAATTAACGTCTTAAGTGCCAACCAGAAGAACGTCAAGACCCCACAAAGCTTCCTTTCAACTTGACCTGGCACCCCCTGAGCCCGAGTTCTGCGCCACATCGGCACTGCGGATGCACTCGAACTGCGCGCGGACTTTGGCCTGCAGGCTCTCTCTCCTTGTAACCCCAAGGGTCCAAAGGACCCAATAACAAGGTACTCGGCTTTAGGATAGTAGTTACGTAGGTTAGGAATTTGGAGAGAATACGATTATTAGGTACTTGGACCCTTTGGGGTACTTGTAAAGTACGGCACAGGTTTTCGGGTTTACGGGTCAAGGTTTAGGATTTAAGGATTAGGCTTTCATTTATCCCTGAGGATGTAGGATTTAATCTTAGGGTTTCGGGCTTTAGGGTTTAGTCTCCACTATACTGAACTTGGAACCCTAGCAAAAATTATAATTTTAGCTGTTTCTTAGGGATTATAATAACCAAAAATTACAAATTATTTCTAAGTACGCCTAAGTCCACATGACAGTTTTGCAACACAGCTCTACAATAATAAGGGGTTGTCGAGGCTGCCCAAGTCTCAGAAGCCAGCCAGGAAGCAGCCAAGGAATCTCAAAGCCTCCTTGACCGAACCTGCGCAGCCCTTGTGCATCTGCCTGCATAAAGCCTAGGTCCAACCCTAAACCCAACACCTCGGACAGCCAACCCGCGAACCCCCAAACGCCCCAACCCTCAAACCCCCAATCCCCCAATCCCTCAAAACCCCAAACTCCAAACCCCAAACCCCAGACCCCCAAACCCCTACACTCAAACTCCCAAACCACAAACCCCAAAACACCCCAAAACAAATTTCCCAACACCCTAAACACCCCAAAAAAGAAAATATCCCCAACACCCTAAACGCCCCAAAATGTAAAAAAGAATCCGTGCGCACCCCGCCTTGCGGCTAAGGCCGGCTGTCTCCAGGGACTCTATCTCCGCCACACACCCGGCCTCATGATCCCACCCTAACCCAGAGGGTCCAAGTAATCCCGATTGTAGCACTAAAGGATTTGGATGCAGGGGTTCGCGGTTAAGGGTAAGTAAAAGTCCCCGAGTCGAGGTTCTGGTCTGAAGCAATACCCCAAGGGTCCAAAGGACTCAATAATAAGGTACTTGGGTTTAGGATGGTGGTTATGAAGGTGCTTGGACCCTGGGGGTAAGGGATCTGACTCTTTTTGGGTTCCCTTAAGGGTACCATGAAACTGTTTAGGATACTGGCGATCCTCTCTTTGCGGTTTAGGGTTTAGGGTTTAGGGTTTGATCCGACCCTAAGGCTCCATGTGCCCAACTAGTTTTTGGTTTACGTTAGCCTTGAAGTTGATGACGACCGGAATGACGACAAGTGCAACCACAGCCAGGGCAGAAGCCACAGAACAAAGTAGCAAAATCAAAGTTTTAGGCTCAGGGTTTAAGTTTAAGGCTTAGGGCGGCCGCATCAAAACAACAACTATGTGCCTCAACCCGAAGCCCTGAACAGGTCATCACAGGAACGACCACAGACGCACGAATAACAACAGCCATCCACGATATTGCAAAGGGATTCAACACAAGACAGGAATTCGAGGGCCTTATTTGTTGAAGTAAGGCTTTAGCACTCGTAATCTATCTACCATCTAACTCTTTTTCTTTCTTCTACCTATCTATCTATCTATCTATCTGTCTGTCTGTAATATACAAATGTCATTCATACTCTATATATATATATATACATATTTATCTGTTTATAGTACATATCATACCATAACTATACTCGAGCCTGTAACAGGGACTGAAATGACTCGCTGTTTTCCGACAACTACTTTCTTGGGTTGTGTTTTTTGGTTTTTGATTTGGGTCCTTCCTTGCAGGAAGCTTCCGCCGACGATACCCAACCTCAAACCCCAACCACGAAACGATGCAGGAGTGATACGATGCAGGTTGTTTTCTTGGAATGCCTATTCTCCAATCCGCCCAAGCATCTCAGACATTCCCAGAGTCAGGGTTTAGGGTTTAGGGTTCAGGACTGCCAGGGGCTTAGGGTTCAGGGGTTTAGGCCGAAACTGAAGCCCAGCGGCAGGGATGTGGTTTGACTTGCTCCTCTTCCCCAGAAGCCTGGCGCACGGAACCATCGGAATCCCTAACACTACCTATAGTCTCCATTGTAGTTCCTTTTTTGGTTAACCAGTTTTATGGTTCGGATCCTATAATAGATATTTTGGTTAACCACAAAAAGGAACTACAATGGAGACTGTAGGTAAAACCCAACATCCGGACTCCTACGACACCCTATATACAGACCCCCAAACACTACACCCTACACGCTGAAAGTTGAACACGGAACGACAAGGAAGCAACCGCACGGCGTGCGAACGAAACGCACGTAGAGAAAACGCACGGGGGAGAGAGGCTAGTGACCTACTATTCAGGGTTTAGGGTTCAGGGCTTTCATCGGCTTAGGCTTCATAGTTTAGGGTTAGGGTTCAGAGGGTTCAAAGCATCAGGGTTCAAGGTTTGATTTGGGCTGCTTTTGAGCGGTACGTAGAGGCTCCATAATAGTTCCTTTTTGGGGCTCATATCTAGAATCGTATAAAGTAATCCCAAAAAGGAACTACTTTGGAGCCTTTGGGTAGACACGTGCTCTGAGCAAGCCTCCGATACTGCCGTGCCTGAGGTCAGTCTAACGTCTCCTAAGCCGCTTTCCCAAAGAATCCAACATCCCCTCAAGGGTTCCTATAAGGGATCCTTGAAGGAATCTATATGCCGGATTCTGGGGCTATCACTGCGGGTCCGACCAGGGCGTCGGATCTCAGCTGCGAACAGCAAGTGCCGCCAATGCCAGCCATTCGGAGTGGACCCCGTTTGTACTAGTGTCCCAACATGAGACCAGAATAAACAATCATCCTTGGTCACAATGAGCCCCATATGCACTAATTCAAATACCCTACATATCCCAGATCCCTAAACCCTAAACGGTAAACCCCTGAAACCCAGATGCACTAAGCCGCGAACCCGATACCCTAGATGTAACGAACCCTATAAACCACGAACCATGTACCGTGCATCCTCGAGCCTGAACCCCCTGAACCAGAAAACACCTGAATCCGAACACCAAGCCCTACCTTAACCCTGAATAACATATTTTTTTAGGGTTCCTTATTATGATTTCCTGATACAAGTCCTTCAAAAGGTAGGTTATTCCGGGTTAAGGTAAGCCGGATATGCACCCGTATATGGAACCTTTGATGACCCCTAGACAGGATCGATGCCCCAACCCACCGTCCTAACTCAAGCCCTCAAGCCCTAGACTCAAAGCCCTGAACACTAACCCCAAACAGTACATCCTCAACCCTAAACCCCAATTGCTTGCCCAGGTAATACCCCAAGCCGGACAGGCCTGCACAGCTCCTCCTGAAGCGACAATTTGGCTTTAGGTCAGAAGTGTAGCGCCAGAGAATGAAAGGGTCGAAGGGTTTAGAGTTTCGGGTGCGTGGGCTTGGGTTTAGGATTTGAGGAGAGGCATGAAGCGGGCGAAGGTTGTTCGGAAGAGTCCGGGAGTGAGGAAACACAAGACTCAGTAAGAACTCAGACTTGTACATCTTCTGCAGCCCAAACCCTAATTTTACGCCCTCAGCCCTCGACCCTGACCCTCGCAACCCACTGTGCCACATCATGGCTGACAGTGCCAACGACTTTCATACCTTCGGAACAGTTGGCTTTCGGAAGCACAAGTACGTATGTAGGCATGTCAGTGTGCAAACTCAAGAAACGGTTGCTGACATTCACAACATCCAACCCATGAACGGAATGACAAAATCAACCGTCAGCGCCAGTTCTATCATACATGTCCGTGTTCCATCACAGAACGAGTATTGTTGGGCCCGGGGCTCTGTGTGTGTGTAAGTGTGTATGTATATATAAATGTGTATGTATATATATATATATATATATACATATGGCTGTATATATATATATATATGGCCGCGCACGCACGTGTGTGTGTGTGGGTGGTGTGTGTGTGTGTGTGTGTGTGTCGGTGGGTGGTGTGTGTGTGTGTGTGTGCGTGTGTGTGTGTCGGTGGGTGTGTGTGTGTGTGTGTGTGTGTGTGTGTGTGTCGGTGCGTGTGTGTGTGTGTTTGTGTGTGTGTGTGTGTGTGTCGGTGTGTGTGTGTGTGTGTGTCGGTGTGTGTGTGTGTGTGTGTGTGTGTGTGTGTGTGTGTGTGTGTGTGTGTTTGTGTGTGTGTGTGTCTGTGTGTGTGTGTGTGGGTGTGGATGGTGTGTCTGTGTGTGTGTGTGTGTGTTTGTTTGTGTGTGTGTGTGTGTTTGTGTGTGTGTGTGTGTGTTTGTGTGGGTGTGTGTGTGTGTGCGTGTGTGTCTGTGTGTGTGTATGTATGCGTGTGTGTGTGTGTGTGTGTATGTATGTATGCGTGTGTGTGTGTGTGTGTGTGTCTGTGTGTGTGTGTGTTTCGTGGTTTGCGCGTGTGCGCGTAGGGGCCCGCTTTTGCGACTTTGTCGGCGGCAAACTGCAGCAGTAAGAAGGAAACGCAGCAGAAGTAGCGGGGCAGTAGATGAAGCGCAAGAGTTGCGTTGGTGACAGTGGTGGTCTCAGCAGGGATGTGGATGGCTAAATTAATGCATGCTCAAGACCGCGCTATGATCATGCTGATGACAATTATGCTTGTTGCTGCTGACTATGTCTGTTACCATTGCTACCATTAAACGAGTATCTGTACTGCTCATGCTATTTGCTATGTACTACTGTACTATGATCATCCTTGTTCATATGGGCGTTTCGGAAAAAGGGGACCCTAATAAGGTCCCCGAAATAGTAGGATCCTCATTATAAGGACACCCACATAAGGTACCGCCAATTTTCGGAAACTCCCATATTGCTGTTACTATGGAAACGCGAAGCCAGACCTCCTGCTATTGCTGCTAGTTTCTTACCGCTATTTGGACTTTTCTATCGTTTCAGTTCTTATAAATGACTATGATAGACTTGCAACAGTAGCTGCTACCTGCTGGTGATTAGTGGCTATTCTTACTGCTACTGAACAGAAGTTACTTGAAAACTCAGGGGACATAGTGCGTAGGGTATAAGCGGGGTTATAAGTGCCTTACTTAACTGGGGTTACGTACTGTACCTATAACCCTACTTATAGGCTACTTACTATATGAGTCCCCTGATCCCAAACCCGAAACCCTAAACCAAACCTTACACCCTAAATCGTATCTGTGATGCTTTCTTACTGCTATTGAACAGAAAAAAGTAGCGACGGTTCCTTGAGGTCGATCTCAGTGGCAACTTGCGACTCTGATAGGACCCTGCGGAGCGGCTTGCATTTATTCTTGTAGGGTTTAGGGTTTAGGGTGTAGGATTTAGGGTTGAGGGTTTAGGGTTTAGGGGTTTAGGGTCTAGGGGTTTAGGGTTTAGGGTTTAGCAGTTCGGGGGGTTTAGTGTTTAGGGGCTTAGTGTTTGGGGGTTTAGGTTTGTGCTTGGGTGGACAGCGTGAGCGGGAAACTGCTTGGTTCAGGATGTTGCTGAGAATTTCAAGGGCTTCAAAATTTGCTTATCAACTTTGGTGGGATTTGTCAAGGACTATGGCTTTGATATTGTGCCTGTTCTATGAGTTGTGTAGGGCTTTATCTGTGCGTTGTCACAGGCTTCCTGCAGGGGTCATTGATGCTGTTTCCGGTTGCCTCGGGCTTGACAAAGTTGTAATGCAAGGGATCTAATGTAGCCCTTTGGGGAAATGCAGGGGCCTTACTAATTAGAATGAGGCTTCGGGAAGTTGTGGGCTACACTGTACTACACTCCTAATAAGGGCAACCCTCAGAAATAGTATTTCTATGCATACCCTATACACTAAACTCTGAACCGAGTTACACTCAGCCATCGTATTGAGTTTAGGACTTTTGCGGCATTAGGCCTCGGGTTGCGGGCTCTCGAGGTGAAGATTGTCTTTGGGTGTTGAGCTTACCCTCATGCCCAGACCGCAAGCATTCTAACCCTCAGCCCTAAACGCTCAACCTATACCATAAACCCCAAGCCCTAGCCTCAATTACTAACCTTAAGCCCTAAGCTAGACATCCAACCCTAAAGCCTGCACCCTGCACATCCCTGAACCCTAAACCCTAAATATTCCTAAACCCTAAACCCCAAAACCTAACCCTGCTAGCCTGAAACCCTAAGCTAAACATCCAACCCTAAAGCCTGCACCCTGCACATCCCTAAACCCTAAATATTCCTGAACCCTAAACCCCCAAAACCTGACCTTGCTTACCTTAAACGCTAAGCTGGACTCTATTAAAGGGCCCTTGAGGGGTTCTGGTAAACCTCGGACTCCGACCCACCCGGCACTCGCACGAGCCTCTGCTTCCGCTCCATCTGGTTCGTCATCACCTTATGGGAGTTTCCGAAATTTGGAGGATACCTAAGGGTTCCTTTACAGGGATACTGTAAGGATCGTTGTAAAGGGCTCTCTATGGGTTTAAAGTTGCCGAATTTGTGGGGATACCTTATTTTGGGGTCCCTTATAATACGGATCCTAAATTAGGGTCCCCTCTTTTCGGAAACTCCCTCATGACTGGGCTCTTGTATTTGGGGTAGCCTACCTGTTCGGGTTCCCTATGGGGTTTGGGGTTTAGGGTTCAGGGTTTAGGGATGAGGGTTTAGGGTTTAGGGGTTAATATTTCTTTATGTAAGTCCTGATAACCGTACGTTCTTCAGGGTCCAGGATTAGCACAAGTCTATAGATCCGTTACGGTAAATCAAAACTAGACGCAGATGACTGTTGCTGACGGTCAGCACACCGCTTTCCCTAAGCGTTCCTTGAAGATGAAGGGTTTGCTTAAGTGTTTTATACTTGGGCCTTACAGGGGTACCTACATAGGCCTTTATGGCCTAAGTATATTCCATATAGGTACACGGAGCCTGCTACCTTAAAGCCTAAACCCACATATGTATGTATATATATATATATAAGTATAAAAACCCTCAAAGGTACTCTTAAATGAACCCTTGGGCCATATGGATCTACGTAGGCGTTGCCGCCGGAATCTCCAATATAGAGGCCTTCATGATTAGACTAGGGGTCAGTTTAAAGGGGTCTATAAGGGCTACGCTAAGGGATCAATAAACGTACTATAACATAGAGGCCGTAATAGCTAGAATAGGGTTTCAGGGCCCATTATACTATAGTTATAATAAGGAACCGGCAAGATGTTATCGGTGCTTTTTTAGCCCTCTATAGTACACACTGCACCCTAAGACCCAACTTCCGGGACCTTCAATTGGAGCTTGCTTCGTGTTAGAATCATGGGCTTCCTGTACAATGGATCCTAACCACTACGAGCGGTACAACCAACAAAGGGAAGTACAATCGAGAAGGTTTATTTGGGAGTTTCCGAATATAGGGGACCCTAATATAGTACCCTAAATAGTAGGATCCTTATTATCAGGACCCCTAAAATAAGGTACCCAGAATTTTCGGAAACTCCCATTTAGGGGCCCAAGCTTTTGGCCGCTAATGGGGCTCAATGGGCCGGGCCACTGTGCCGCGAGGCTTCGGGCACAGCGAGTGCTTGGGGAAGCGATGCCGAATCCGAATGGGCTGGGCCCATTATCTGGTGCGAGGGCCTTGGCGACAAGCCGGTTACACGGAGCAGCATCACAGGCGGTGCCCTGCAGTGGCACTCCTTGCTGCACGACGATGGCCTGATGCATCACCTCCATGACGAGACTGAGCATCTCGGAGGCTCTCGCTTGCTCTCGGGGGCGGAGCAGAAAGCACACGTCCATGCAGTATATGTTTGTGTCGCACTGTGCAGCTAGCTTAAGGCTCCTGAAGCCGAAACCCTCCCCCAGAAAGCCCAAATGGGCTGGGCTCGATGGGCTGGGCCTACGGAACTCCCAATGATGGAAGCCCAAAGCTGAGCCCCTCATATATGTATGCATATTATATATATATATATATATATATATATATATATAAGAGCCACATTTCGTCTGCGCTGGAATTCGAGACAAAACCTCGAATCGAAGACCCGAAAGGATTTGGATGCGGAGGTTTCGCGGTTAAGGGCAGGTCTAGGTTTTGGGGTTTAGGTTCTGGTTTGAAGGAATAGGTACGGTTTTGGGGGCTTAGGGTTTAGGTATAGGGTTTAGGGGAATAGATACGTGTTTGGGGGGTTACGGTTGAGGGTTTGGGCCTAAATTCCTAAACTGCATCCTTAAACCACTTGCGGACTGCTTCCCTCACATCCGAAGGCTGCAAGCAATGAAACCCTGCTTTTGTATCTTGGGGGGCCTGACCGTGAACTCACAAGCCCTAAACTTGGTGTCCCACATTGTCGATGAAGATTGCCATGATGAGGTTGAAGATGCCGACCGTGACCTTTGGTGGTTTGGGGCTTAGGGTTTGGTCGCATCAAGAAACTCTGCGGTGGATGGAAGAAATCGTGCATTCTTCATAGTGTGGTAAGATACCATAGGTGAACATAGTCCTGGTGCCCACCGTCATGCAGGATTTGGTCAATCAGATAGCAGATTAAAACGGATGCTGCTGGACAGACTCCTGCATTATCCTTGACAAGACATACTGTCTACCCAAACTCACCGAGTCCGAGAACATAAGGTATTGCAGGATCCCGGCTATGAGCATGATCTTGAGCGGACATGCAGAACTCTCAACTACATACTGCCGGGTCGAACCTGGTCCAGTGAGATGGACCTTCATAAATCGGTTGTCCAAGCACTTCAGCTAGACCTCGAAGTGAGGGACCCCAAAATAAGGGTACCCTAATTTTCGGAAACTTCCATTTAGGCCCCTACTTTCTGGCACGATCAAGAGCCCCGTCACTCTGAGGTCTGGAAGCCCAGGGCCCCATCGAAGCCCTGAAAAAAACGCCTAAAACTGGATCTATCCGCACTCGATAGCGTCTATTAGCTAGTCCCTTCTAAAGTTAGCAGCTTTTAAGCGGGTCCCCCTTGCCCGGGCTCTTATCAACCCTCTGACCCACTTTAGTAAACAGCTACCCATGTCATGGCTTGAACAAAGCATTAAGTGGATCATAGATAGCTTGAACAAAAAGTAAGTGATGCATAGACCCTAAACTCCTAAACCCTATAATTATAAGCCCAGCCCCTAAACCCCCTAAATCCCAAAGCCGAAACCCGAAACCCTAAACCCTCAACCATAAACCCTAAACACTGAACCCTAAAACCTAAAACCTGAACCCCAAAACCTAAACCCTAAACCCTGAACCCCTTCAAGGAGCCCCTTGAAAGGACCCAGGGCCACCGGCCAGCATAAAGAAGAGGACGTAGGAAACGAAGAAGACGTTGCCGTGGATTCTATGAAGCTTCTCCTGGGTCAAGAGGGTCCCCAACGGGTCCTAGGTATCGGTATGGGATCCTGTTTAAGGTTTCTTTAAGGGATCTATAGGGGGTCCTTTTAAAAGAATCTGGGTGAACCCAATGGTCCCCTGTACCCATGTCAAAACTAGGGCCCGCTTTTGGGTAGCTTAAACATTGAGTGCCGTATTATTAAGGATCCAAAAAGGGACCATAATTTTGACAGCCACCCAATGTGGTAGGTACTTAGGCCTTAAGGGTACCCATATTAACGCCTGTAAGGCCTATGTACCTACAATATGGGCACATGGAGTCTTAGGGTGAAAAGGATCCCCACATAAAGGGTTCAGGGGTCTAGGGGTGGAGGATTTGGGGTTTGGGGGTCGGGGGGTTTAGGGTCTAGGGGTTTAGGGGTTTACGGGTTTAGGGGTTCAGGATTTGGGGTTTAAGGTCTAGGGGTTTAAGGGCTTACGGGTTTAGGGTCCTAGGTATCGCTATGGGTTCCTTCAAGGGATCTATAGGGGTCCCTCTAGCGTGGATCTATAGGGGTACTGTTTCTCGGGGTATAGCAGCTCTTCAAGCAAACATTAAAGCCCTAAACCTTAAACCATCTTAACCCCTAACAACTAAACCCCAGACCCGAAACCCCCCCTGCACCCTAAAGCTTCCTGTCAGGGTGACTTTCAGGGTTTAGGAGTTTAGGGTTTAGGGTAGGGCTTTGTTAAGGATGCCTTTCAGGCATTCCTTCAAAGCTCACCCTAAGGGTCCAAGTACCTAATAATCATATGCTCTCTCAAACGGTAGCCTTCAAAACTACCGTCGGAAACCTGAGTACCTGATTATTGTGTCCCTTGACAGTTATGGGGGATACTTCCACAAACCATATTTACTCGTAATTCCTGCTACAGAAACCCTTCAATACGACCTAAACCCTCAACCCTGAACCCTGAGTCATAAACCTTCAACCCTAAACCTTAAACCATAAACCCTGAACCCTCAACCCTTAGGGTGGTTCCGGAGGATCGGAGGTCCGTCTTTTTCTGCTTCAAGGTGCGTTTACTTGGAGGATCATGGGACTTAGTAACCAGGGTGCCTTTGAGTGATCTATAAGGTTATGAAGGGTTCTAAAACGTTGCCGGTGTACTTAGAGGACCATGTCTATACTTATAAAGACTTGTAACTCCAATTAAGGTTCTTATAATAACCTTATAGTTACTAAGTCACATGATCCTCCATGTATGGCTTAGGGCCCAATTTTGGAAGACGACACTCCGAGTTCATGGTTGATGATGGAAGGCCCACCAAACTTTGAATCCTAGACCCTATAAACTCTATACCCGAAACCCTACCGAACTTTAAAGCAAAGCTTCAAAGCCGTAAACCCGAGACCGTCTACTCTTGACACCAAATCAGCCAGCATCATCAGCATCAGGTGGACTCTGGCTTGGTCGGTGAGCCGCTTTCACCTTGTTGGGAGGCGGCGGAGGCGGCCGAGGCGGTCCCTTCGGCCTCCCTTTCCCCTTCGATGCTGCTTGATGACGCACACGGCGCAAAGCAGCAGCCCAAGGAGGATGGTTTGGCCGCCCTCCTATCGGTTTGGGTCCCATGCTTAAATAGTGGCAGGCAAGGGAGCATCATCAGCATCAGCTGGGCTGCTTCTTCCACAGGGCGTGCTGCCCGCGACATGCGTCGTATGCACCACCTTTCTTCTCTCACCAATGCCCAGCTTGTTGGCTGATGCGGAAAACCTCCACTCCCTGGACTTGTGGTACACCAGCCCATGGTGCAGGAGGTATGCCATGCCTACTCTCGAGAATTACATACCCAGTTTTAACAACGGTTTGTGCTTCGTTAAGTTCGTTTAGGGTTGCGAGAGATCGGGGCTGGAGAGAGGGTACACGGCCTTGGGCTAGGTTCGAGATTCACTAGGATTTCTGCAGGCTGCGGGGTTCAGGATTTAAGGCTATGGGCTTTGCGGTTTAATTGCGGCTTGTATGGCGATAAAGTTTCGGATCTTCAAGTAGGGATTGTACTGGCGATAGGGTCTCGTTCGCACTGGGCCATGGGGTGGCTCTGCTGTGGGGCTTGTCTAGGCTCTGTCAGGGTCAGGGCTCAGGGTTTAGGAATTAGTGTTTCATCCTGGTAGCCCTGCATCCCAAAAACCGTGAAACGGCTTCCCTTCCTCTCTGCCCCCCTCCTGTAGAGGGCGCCCATCGTAGGCGACGCAACCATCGGTGAAACACCTCTTGATTGACCCTAAACCCTAAACCGGGCTGTTATCGGGTTACGGGTGTAGGAACCATACGATGCTTGTCAACAAATCAGTTTTTTTACCTAACCCTGAACCCCAAATCCACGCGATGTTTGGGCTTCATGCCAACCCATAAGAAAGATAACTTGAACTTGGAACAAGCATCGTAGATGGGACAAGCGTTTTAGCGATGAGGCTATGGTTTAAGGATTAGGGTTTACAGCTGGGTTCGGGGTTTAGGGTTCGAGGAAATCGGTACTGAACTTGGAATCCTTGCAATTTATTGTTTTTGCTGCTGCTTAGGGCTTGCTGATAATATTCAATGATTGAAAACTGCTTCCAGTCCAAATACCCCTAGGATGGTAACCCGGGCAATTGGTCTACCTAGAGCCCCAAAAAACCACATAAGCCCAAATTAGGATAGGGATATCCCATATAAACCCCCTTAAAAGGAAGCCCAATAAGGTCGGGATATCCGGGTAAAATGCTAATGCCTATGTGCTTTTGGGGTCCCTGACTACCTGCTCTTCGGGGTCCAGCAAGGGTCCACGCTTGGGTTTAAGATTTTGAACGATTTTGGGCAGTTCTCTAAAGTAGTGTCCCTTTTGGGATCCTGTCTCTAGAAGTGCCATATTCCCTAAGGGTCCATGTGCCCAAACAAGGTTCCTTTAAGGGCTCCTTTAAGGGTTCTATAAGGGTATCATAAGGGTTTGGGGTATAAGGGTCCATGTACCCAAATAGTATAACTTGTACTTACGTAGGGAATACTTTTCGGCTGAAGTATATACTACTTGGGTACATGGACACTTTGGGATTGTGTAGGCCTAAACCCTAACCCAGACCCCCGGGAGGATCCAGAAAGTAGATCCCCTAATTTGGGCCTTATACCACAAAGGATACTTTATAGGAGCCCCATTAAGGGATCTATTTTTTGGATCCTCCCGGCGGTCCGGGAAACTGGGGCGCTTCTTTTGAGTTTAGGAGTTAGCGTCTCTGGCCCTGGAGGTTGAAGGCGTGAGAGATTCCAAAACGTCTTGGGTTTAGGGCTTATATGGGATAGATGGGGTTATAGGGTTTACAGGGGTCATAGGCTTTATAGGGGTTATAGGGCTTGCGGGGATAGGGTTGTAGGGTTTATAGTGTTCAAGGTTTCGGGTTTGCGGCCAAGTATACACGTGGATAAAGATGGACGCATTGGGGGAGGCTTTTTCTATTGGGGTTGTTTGGGGCCACAAGGATATCTTCTACGTGCAGGGCTCAGGGCTTCGGGTTTGAGGTTCAGGCTTCCAGTCACATTAAAGGATTGCCTCGTGTCTTTCGTGTCTTTTGGATCACTGCAGTATTAGGCATTACACTTCCTGCCAGTGGTGGCTAAGGCTTGAAGGCTTGGGAGGCACGGCTTTGGGTGGGACTTTATACGAAGTGACTTTTATGTACGTTCTATGGAATCTCCGCCACGGCAACATCCTGATAGCCGTAACTCTACAGGCCCTACAGAACCCTCATGAAACCCCTATAAACGTTGGGGCGTTAGCTTGGGCAGACGGGGTAGAAGGTGAGTTGAAGAGCCCTCGCGTTGGGTTTAGCGTGGGTAAACTCTGAACTAAAATCCGCAGCATTGTGACTATCAACCATGCCATAATCCTGCTCCTCCCCCACCTGAACCCGGAATCCAAAATCCCTGAATCACCAGAGTCTCACCAGAGCCCTAAGTTCCTAAAACTCATGACATTCCCAGTCTCCAGATGCTTGCTGGCAAGGAATACCACAGTCCGAGCCTGACTTCCGAAGCCATGTAGGGACGGGTTCCTTCCACAGCCATTGCACACACCCTAAGACTCCATGTACCCATGTAGTAGGTACTTAGGCCTTAAAGGGGTCCCTATATGGGTACTTTAATTAAGGCCTAAGTACCTCCTATATGGGTACATGGAGCCTTTAAAACCGGGTTGTCTTGGCAGGCCCGCCGTCGGGGCCGAAAGCGAGAGCAGCCTCTTCCAAGAACTCAGAGACAGCAGAGACTCCGCAAAACCCAGAGACAGCAGAGAATCCAGTCTCTCCCAGCCGTCAGAGCCTTGGGCGTTTTCAGAGCAAGTTCTCCTTCGGTCTAGTGAAGAACACACAATGGGTTTGGGGTTTAGGGTATTCCTGTGCTGGTCCTCCAAGTGACTTGTAGAGCCACAGATAGAGCCACCATCACGCACCGAGCCGCCATCCTCCAAAACCCAAGCTGGGCAAAGTCCAAAGGGTGAAATAATGATGTCCCAGTAGCTGACACTTCTTGTGGAGGGAAGCGCTTTTTCCCACATCCCGACATGACTTGCGGGACGGGATCCAGGGCTTTACCCTAAACCCTGAGCCCTAACATCCCTAAACCCTAAAACCTAATATCCCGAAACTCTAAACTCAAAACACCCTAAACCCTCAACTCAAAACCCTACGCCCTAACATACCTAAACCCTAAACTCAAAACCCTGCACCCTAAAATCCCTAAGCCCTAACATCCCAACTGTAAAATCCCGAAGCCCTAAACCCTAAAATCCCCCTAGACCCTAAAATCCCGAAACCCTAAACTCCCGGGTCCCCCACCGGAAGAGGGTGAACATCGACTCCTCAAGGGTGTCGAACTCCTCCGCGCGACACGTCGCAATTGGGTTCAGATGTCCTTCGAGGCGACCTCCTTTAAGGGCTCCTTTACTAGACCCAAGAGTATCCTAGGAATAAAAAGGGGGTTTAGGGGTTTAGGGTTTAGGGGCTTAGGGAGCCAAGAGTCGCCTCGGAAATAAGACGGTGCCTTTTTTGGTTGTAAAGGGGCTTGCAAGGGAACCTCAACCCCAAACACGAATAAGGGTCTACTCTAGGTCCTAGAAAGGGTTCCTTTAAAGGGATCATGACGGGTACCCTGAAGGAGTACCCTTGAAGGAGTCCTTAAACGAACACTTTCAGGAACCTTTTAAGTTCGTTCTACAAGGTTTTCTTCTAAGCATTGCTCTAAGGGGCTAGGGCTAAGCATAATATAGGGGCCTTAACAATTATTATTTCTAGTTCTGTGGTCTGGGCTCCTTGAAAACGGTTCTATAAGGGCTACTCTAAGGGATACAATAAGGGTACTATGATATAGGGGCCGTAATGATTAGAGTAAGGCTTTGGGGCATCATATATATATATATATATATGTATATATGTATATATATATATATATATATATAGTTAATAGTCACTACAGGGAACTCCCAAAATAGTATAGGTAAGTTTGAATAAGGCCCCTGCGTTACAGCATACTTAGAGGAGCAGGGGGACCAGCAAGTAGGTTGAAAGCTGGTTTAACAATCCCGTAACTGGGTTGTTGTATTTACAGCCCTTGACACGTAATCTACTTCGTCTTGTGGGCCGTAAACCACCATAAAAAAAAAAAAAAAAAAAAAAAAAAAAACTGCGATGCGATGCAACACTGCAGCAAACCTACTTACCTAGTCGCCTGATCCTCTTTCGTTCAACTCTGCATGTACAACTCGGCAGCACCTGATAAAACCCTCATAAAGAACTGGCGCTGCTTGCACCCCTAGCTAAAAACAAGCAAGATATGACCCCTTTATCCAGCTGTAAGACCTTGAAGCATACCCAGACCGCTCAAAGCACCAAAAACCACATATAGCCACTGCGAAACCCTTGTGAAAACCGTACCAACTCCCAAAACCCTAAACCCGAAACACCTAAGATCTAAACACCCAAAAACCTGAACCCTAAACACCCAAAGCCCTAAATTCTCGTCGCTCCGGCAGCCGGTCGTCATCTCCCCAGAGTCTGTGCAACGCCTTGGTTCTTTCAGATGAGAGGCGGCAGGTCTGGGGTTTAGATTTGGGGTTATCAGCGCTCAGGGTTTAATTGCCCATGAGATGGCACCGTTTCTTTTGAAGGTCTGTCTTAAATTACCAGTGCTATGCTGACTCTATTGCTAAAGCGGGCAATTAGAGTGGGGCTAGGATTGTTGAGTTGCAGGGCTAGGTGCTGCTTTTGATGGGGTCTCATAGCGCGGCTGCTTGCGTTTGTCGGATCAAAACCTGAGATCTTTCATTATGGCCAAGTCTTATATGGACTGCTGTAAACAAGATTTCATAGAACGAACAAGGAGCGATATGAACGAAGAAAGCAAGAGTGCATTGGTATTTATGTTTGTTTGACCGCATTATGAGGGTTGGTGTTCTTGTACTACTGCTTTCGGGAAATGGTTGGGAGGGTTGCAAGGGGTGCAAGCACCATATTCCAAACCCAAATCCACAATCTCCAAACACATCTAACTCAAATGGCGGTTCCGAAACAGGGGACCCTAATAATATAGTACCCTAAGTAGTAGGATCCCATTTACATGGACCCCAACATAAGGTACCCCTATTTTCGGAAACTCCCAAGCCATCGGAAACCTCAAGTCTTGAGCCAAAGCCTAGCACCCCAAATAGCCCAAGTAGGGTTTAGGGTTTAGGGTTTAGGGTTTAAGGTTTAGGGTTTAGGGTTTAGGGTTTAGGGTTTAGGGTTTAGGGTTTAGGGTTTCATTTCGATACTGGGAGTCTTAAGGAAACTTTCTAACCATTGGACCCTAAAACAAACTGAGGGAGTCTAGCCCTAAACCCCGACTTAAACCCTAAATCCTAAACCCTAAACCGTCTAGCATTACTTAAACGCTGACTCAAACCCTAAATCCTAACCCGTCTATCTTAGCTCTTAGAGCCTTCCCTTGGTACCCTAAACCCTGACTTAAACTCTGAATCCCTAATCCCTAAACCATCTTGCATTAGCTCTTAGCGCCTTCCCTTGGTCGGTACCCTAAACCCTAACTTAAACCCTAAATCCCTAAAACCTAAATCGTCTCCCTAAACCCTAACCTAAACCCTAAAACTTACAGAATAGTACGCCCTAAACCCTAAACCGTCTAGCATTGGCTCTTAGAGCCGTCCCTTGCCGTCCTCATGAGCCGTCCTGCGAGGATCCATGTACCCACAGAGCAATGTAGGAACCTGATTAAGAAACTCTGCTCCTATAACCCCCAAAATAGCAGGGTCCATATATAGAACCCTAACATGAACACCCGAGGTTCCTTAATCAGGTTCCTTTAGGTCTTAAAATGGTTCCTATCCGGGTACTAAAGGCCTAACGATATACCATATGGGTACTTGGAGCCGAAGGGAGCCATCCTACCGGGATATCTGGCCCGAACTATGCCTTAGCAGACATGACAGGCTACCCTATTTCGGTGCGAAATCCTCTTAGCACTTTTAGAAAGCCCATCACAAACCCGACCCAAGCATCCAGATGTACGACCAGCATGGAACTACCTATATTCTCCATTCTAGTTGCGTTGTTTTTTTGCGTGGCCTGTTGTATATCGTAGGATCCTGACCGTAAAACTCGGTTAGCCAGAAAAAGCACTGCAATGGAGACTGTAGGTAGGCCCCGAAAGACCATCCGTACTAGTTCCATGCTAGTACTTCAGTTGGACCCTTTGGTTATAACACTGATACCCTTAACCGTATGCAGCCCCAAATGGTGAATCCCATATGCCACATGCACCACCGGGGAACAGCGAGATAATCATAAACACCCGTAAATCCTAGACAACCCTAAACCCTACACCCAGCCACACCCTCTTCCTGAGCACGGGGCGACCCCCGCCACGTAAATGGTGAAGAAGAGAAGTATAATCGCCTTGGTGCTAGGTCTTTGGGGTTTCCTGAACCCCCACAGGATGTAGAACGCTGGCCTTTGATAGGTCTTATTTTTACGTGTTTTGGCGTCTTTGTCTGCCCTCCAGTCGGCACACAACAAAATACAAATTCTCTCTGACCATAGTGGCTTGGAGTTTCGGGTTTGGGGCTTGATGCGTTGGCCTTAAGGTCGTCCCTATATGAACACTTTGGCCAAAGCATGTACTATTTGGGTACATGGACCCTTATGCCCTAAACCCTAAGCCCTTATGATACCCTAATAGAACCCTTAAAGGAACCTTTATTGGACCCTTATACCCTAAACCCTAAGCCCTTATGATACCCTATTAGAACCCTTAAAGGGAACCCTTAAAGGAACCTTGTGTGAGCACATGGACCCTCAGGGTAAACCCTGAAGCGACTCGACTGAAGAGCATTGGATCCTGAATCCCCCGAGACGGTTGGGTTTTCGTACCCTAAGGGTTTAGGGTTTAGGGTTTAGGGCTCTGAGGCCTCATATTTTAAGGCTTTTGGGCCTAAAGGCCCTATTTTATAAGGCTTTTGTGCTGCCATTTTGAGCCTTAGGGTAAGGGTCCAGGTATCTCCTTGGGAGGGTCCAGGATGTCGTAGGGAGAGGTCCTTGGGTCTCTTTGGGGTCTCAGAAACCCGCAATTTTGAGGTTCCCCAATTTGTTAGGACCCTTAGGGTACGCACAATTGTGTTGAACAAAGCACACCTCAATGTACTTTCTTTCCACGTGCCTTTCCCCAAGGGTCCAAGTACACAATAATCATATACTCTTCAAAATCCTAACCTACATAACTACTATCCTAAGCCCAGGTACCTCATTGTTGAGTCCTTTGGACCCTTGGGGTTTTGTTTGTCAGTGACGTCTTTTGGTGGAACATCATCCGAAGCAGTATTGAATTCGTGCAGTCTCCGGAGACTAGCAGCTAGCAAGCCTTGCAGGCCAGAGCTGATGTGTGAATGGCGTCTTGTCCCCGTTCCCGAGTGTTGAGACGTGTTTCGGCCACACTCTGCACCTGGCCCTTGCAACGCGATGCCTAAACCCCCAGCCCTAAGCCGAATCGGTGAAAAAGCGCACTGACGCCTGAATCTTCTGCCCTAGAACTCTAAACCGAATCCCATGACCCCAAGGGTCCAAGTACCCAATAATCATATGTATACTCTCCTAAAATCCTAACCTACATAACTATTATCCTAAAACCGAGTACCTAATTATTGGGTCATTTTGACCCTTGGGGTAAGCTCGAACCCCAAACACGCTTATACACGGGCCTGAGCACTTGGAGCTCTTATAAGTAACTTACCCGACTTACCCCCATGTATGAAGCTACCCAAAGGCTCCAAAGCAGTTCCTTTTTGGGATTACCTTTTGGGATTCTAAATGTGAACCCCCAAAAGGAACTACTATGGAGCCTCTGGGTAATGCATCCGCCAGGATGCTCGGTACCTACGGTTCAGGGTTCGCAAGTTTTGACCTTGAAATCGAAACCTATCCTGCACCAACCCCCCGAAAGACGCACCAAGCATAAACCCATAATGTTGCACCCCGAGAATCCTATATACCTCGAGTGTTTCGGGTTCGGTTTCATAGTAAGTCCTTCCTTCTGACCTCCAAATGGTTTGCAAATAGTGTTGCGGCTGGGCACAATGCAGGTGCCTGGGACTTTCGCGTCTCCTAACCCTAACCCCTACACCATACAACCCTAAAGCCCTAAACCCTGAACCCTAAAACCCCAAGCCCTAAACCTTAAAACCCTAACCCCCACACCATACAACCCGTGGCCAAGGGGCCCAAATGAGTACTCGGACGCCGGAGACGACGCCCATGACCATCATGTTCAACTCTCCTTCAAAGGGTGAAAGGAGGGACCCTTAATGGGGACCCCTACCCTATCATGGGCTATATAATGGGTATATAATAGCTATATTAAGGGTATATACCTAGGGGTCCTTATTAAGGGTCCCTCGTTTTCCCCTTTGATCTCCTAGCAACCGCGCAGTCTAGGGTTTAGGGTTAGGGTCTACCTAGAGGCTCCATAATAGTTCCTTTTGGGGGTTCATATTTAGAATCGTATAAGGTAATCCCAAAAAGGAACTACTTTGTTGGAGCCTTTCGGCAGGGTTTTATGGTCAGAGCTTTTACCGGGCAGCTCACGCTGCGATTCAATGTAACGGCATCAAGATTTTGCTGGAATAACGAGAAGAGCTTTGAGAGCGCAAGTTGGCATAACTTGCTTCAATAGGATGCCTGAACCTCTGATTTGGCAAGAAATGCAATCTGAATCACCCTAAACCCTAAACCGCCTCTATTCAAACCAAAAATCCGATGGGATCCAGGCTGAAGCCTGTTCAAGCAGACATCAAAGGGGAAAGGAGGGACCCTGAATGGGGACCCCTACCCTATAATGGGCTATATAATGGGTATATAATGGCTATATTAAGGGTCGAAAAAAAGAGGTCCTTATTAAGGGTCCCTGGTTTTACCCTTGGAAGACAGAACCCCAGGAGCAAAATTGCCAATATGTCGCGTGTTACTGTGCCACGTGTGATGATTCTCCCAACCCCACCACCGGGCAGATCCGATCGCAAAAGGGTCCTAAGTACAGTGTACTAGATGGTAGGGTTTCTATCTCTAAGGCTTTGAAGACTCTTATTTTAAATGACTTTTGAGCCTAAAGACCATGTTATGTAAGGCTTTTTGGCCATTTCGAGCCTTTGAGGTATAGAGAGAACTATGATTATGGTTTGGGAAGGTGTTCCCCATAACATCCTCATTGATTAAGTTGCTTAACCGATTACGGGATAAGGATTACCGCACACCACCATGACCTACTTCTTTGAAGGTTCTTATCGTGAGCAATCCCGAGCATCGAACTTTGAGGGTACTATGGTAGGGTTCATGGCCTTAACCCTACCCCATTGGTCCAAGTGCCTAATAATTAATCATATACTCTCCAATATCCTAACCTAAATGACTACTATCCTAAAACCGAGTACCTAAGTATTATTGGGTCCTTTGGACCCCAAAGGCTAAACCCTAAAATGTCGCTTTGCTCGGAGGTCTCAAAAGGCGGGATGAAGGTGGGTAGGATCAAGGATCCCTTATGTAAGGACGCTCATTTGGGAATATCTTAGAAGGGGCCCCCACCCTGCAATAGTGGTACAATAGGAATATAATAAGGCCCTAATATATAATCCTTATAGTCACTTTTACAGGGTGGGGGCAGCTTCTTAGGAATATCCCACCTACCTTCATCCCACCTTTTGAGGCCTCCGATCTGCTTGCTCCGAGTCTCGGAAGATCGGATACCGCAGTGCGCGGATGAGACGGGCCAGCCGCGCGAGACGTAGCCTGGGAGGGCTCTTGAAGAGAGGGCCCTTTAAAGGGCTCAAAAATGGGGGCCTTAATTTTTAGAGCAGGGTTTTGGGGCCCATCATACGATAAATAATAATAACAAGGAACCCTCAAAAACATAAAAGGTCTTTGAAGGGCTCCATGGTGTTCCATAAGGCTTAGGGAAGAGGGCCTCAGGAAGGTTCTATAACGGTCCTACGAGGGCCTGCAATCGCTCTTTTGTTTTGCTTCTTTGTTCGAGGGGTGGCGGGAGAGTGCGGGTGTTTACCTAGAGGCTCCATAGTCAAGAGTAGTTCCTTTTTGGGGTTCATATTTAGAATCCTATAGTTTATAGGATTCTAAATATTAAAGTAATCCCAAAAAGAAACTACTCTGGAGCCTTTGGACTATGGTTCAGTCTTCTTGTCTGACTGGGTGGGGAGACTGACGTAACTGTATATAAACGGATAAGGCTGCCAATTGTTCCGACATCATACCACTTTGAAAGTCAGATGGCCGCCTCACGCAAACGGCTTGGAAGCCCAAAGCCATAGAAGCATTGAGGATTCAAGCCCCTAAACCCTAAACCTTACTCTAAACCCCTAAACCCTAAACCCCAAACCCTTAACCCTAAACCCTAAACCCCTTAGATGCCTCAAAACAGGGAACCACAGACTCGGAACTGACTCCAAAAGCCTCTTCCAAATCCAACCAAGTTCTGCAAACGAAGATTGAGGAGCTTCCGAAAATTAGGGGTACCATATTTGGGGTCCTTGTAATAACCCCAAGGGTCCAAAGGACCAAATCTTTAGGTACTCGGTTTTTGGATAGGAGTTATGTAGGTTACTATTTTGGAGAGCGTACGATAATTAGGTACTTGGACCCTTAAGGTAATAATAAGGATCCTACTATCCAGACGACTATCTTAGGGTCCCCTATTTTCGGAAACTCCCAAATCAGCTAGGGTGCATCTTGATCATCATCAGCAAGCTCAAGTTCGGCGCAGAGCCTTGGCTGTGCTGCTTAGGCTTGGGGCTTAGGGGCATTGGCCGTTTCTGGACTGAGCTTCCGAAAACGAATGGATGAAGGCCCTACCCACCCACGACCCTTCGAGTCAGCCCACCCTAAACCCCAAAACTCTAAACCCTAAACCCCTAAACCCGAAACCCAAAACCCGAAACCCTGGACCTGCTATGGAGGATCTGGGTTCCGAACAGGCCAGGGTCGACCCTGCTTGGAGGATCAGGGAAGTTTATTACAAGTAAGGTTATAACCCTAGGGATCTAAGAACTCATATACTGAGGCTTTTGGGCCCAAAGACCACACTGTATAAGGCTTCTGGGGTATTTTGATGCCCAGGGCAATTACTTACAAGTATAGTTACCTGGCTTTTTTGACCTCAGCTACTAAGTCCCCTGATCCTCCAAGCAGATCCTAAGCCATGTCTTCGGGCTTTTGAGGCTGCCAGGTCTCGTATAGGGTGTCGATCTTCGCAGGGAGCCGGAGTTTCGGCGTTTGGCATAAAATTTAGGGTTTAGGGATTAAGGTTTAGGGGTTTCGGGTTTGGGATAGAAGAGGATCTAGGGTTTCGGGTGCCTCTACTATGTCAGAGAAGCTGAAGGAGAGACCTTACTCGACCTCCCTCGATTGGAAAGGCGTAGAGAGCCATGTTGAAGGTTTCGATGGTACCCAAAGTGCAAAAGCCTCATGATTCAGGTGAGTCATAAAGCCTTTGGGTTAAGAGGTTCGGAAATTTCTGGGTTCATGCCTGTCATCGCTTAGCGCCCGTCTTGGGGGGAGCGGGTGGCTTGGACGATGTAACACCCGCCTTGGGGGAGTGGGGACAAAATTAGCCCAGTTCTTACCTTTGGTTAGTAGGGAAGGGAATGGAGGAATTGGGTACAATTATAACTACCATTACTTCCATTCTTCCATTCCCTACTCACCAAAGGCAAGAGTTGCCTTACCGGTCTTCGCAACAGGGGGAGCTGACGAAGTGGTCTTCATCTTTTCATCCTTCCCGCGCCGCGTAGGTCACCACACTCTCGCTGTCGCTGTCGGACGGCGGAACCAGTGGCGACCCGGACGAGAGGGATGAGGAGCGCTCGTCCTTTGTTTTGTCCAGCTCTCAATCAGCATCTTCTGGAAATTCTCGTAATGGTCTCGAAGATAGCCCTTCTTCTGAAGGTACTTCGCCCTTCATTACGCGCAAACTGAAGGCGGATCGATGCGCCGGCGCCATCCTTCAATGCCCTGGGATTTGGGCTTAAGGCACCAGGCTTTAGGGCTCAACTAGGGCCCCCCAAAAGCACACTAAGATTTGGGAGTTGCCGAAAATTAGGGGTACCATATTTGGGGTCCTTGTCATAATAAAATAAGGATCCTACGGTTCATGGTGCAAATCCTGCATTACACTAATGACCCTAGACTATGGGAATTATACCATATTTCTTAGGTACGGCCCCCACTCAGTAATAGTTGAATAGTATTCATAATATAGAGATATTAGGACCTTAATATTAGCCCTATTATAGACTCTTACTGTAAGGGGGCCGTACCTAACCTAACATATTTCTTATCATGGGTCATGCAGGATTTCTATCATCAACCGTAGGGCCCCCCAAAAGCACATAAGCAAAAATCAGGATAGGGAGATCCCATATAACACCATTCTAATGAAGCCCAAAAAAGGTAGTGATATCCCTATAGCGTGCTTATGCTTATGTGCTTTTTGGGGTCCCTAAGGAACAAGTCTTCGTTCAGAAGTTCGACGTCAAACTCAACCTGGTTTCGCATCACTGTAGGTTCATTTTCAGGAGCTTACAATAAGCTCAAGCTACCACAGTGAAATGCATAGTACAGACAGACAGCCACATACTTGCTTATTATTGTGGAGGCTTACAGTAGTTAGGACCAGTCAGAGAGAGGCAGAAACCCAAAGACTTTCAACAACTCTTCAAGCCCTAAACCCTAGCCTTAAGACATTCAAACCTTTAACTTCTGGGATATGCTAAGAAGATAAAAAAACAACAAAACTAAGTCCAAAACAAAAAAACAAAAAGAAAGCAAACCACATAAACCAGGCCAGAAGCCAGAATAACAAAAACAAACAAACAAACAGAACACAAAAACACACAACCAGACGCCCGTCCAGGCGCCCGTTCCTGAGGCTCGTTGCTGTTTGCTTTTTGTTTGCTTTTTGCTGTTTTCCAAGGAAAAACGGAAAACAAAAAAACAAAAACAAGCGAAAAACAAAACAAAAAAAATGCAAACACAAACAAAACAAAAGCAACCACAAAAAACGAAAAAGAAAAAAACAAAAACAAGCAAACACAAACAAAACAAAAGCAACCACAAAAAAACAACAAAAACAAGCAACCACAAAAAAAATGAAACAAAAAGCAAAGCAGAAACCTCCCATGCCCACCTGTCATGTTTATTTTTTTGTGTTTCCTGTAGTTTTTGTGTGTTTTTTGTTTTGCTTTTTTTTTTAACTTTTTCTTGATTTCCAGAGGTTGCAGTGTTTTGAATGTCTTAACCCTAGCCCTCTCAATTTAGGGTTTAGGGTTTAGGGTTTACGGCTAAGCAACTACAAGATCTAAGCACCCGAAAACCCACTCTTAGCCTAGGGACTTGCGCCGATGATGTTCACCGCCTGCAGGGGCACAGAGAGGTTGCGGGGGGGAGAGGGGGCTGGGAGGGCAGGGTTAGGGGTTTAAGGTTTAGGGGTTTCGGGTTCGGTTTAGGGAGCACGTCTTGATTTGATAAGTTCCCTTGCATATAACTGATGTGGGTTGGTTCATAATCAACGTTCTATGTGGTTGTTAAGGTTAAGGGTCTGCTGCTGCTTTGTGGCAAAACATGCTTCTGGAGTTCCGGGTCTTTACGGTGGGCATCCGCTTGGTGCCACAACAATTCGAACAAGGATTTGGTGTGTAAAGCATGTATATATATATATATATATATATATATATATGTATGCTATATAGCAATAATAAGAAGCCCTGAAGTACCAGTTACTCGGAACGGCTTTCGTGCCTCTGCTGTGGCAATCTCGGCTTTCGTGTTTGGGATTTGGAGCTGGGGCTTGTACGGTTGAGGGCCCTGAGCGACAAGGATACATATACCTTAATCTCTAGGATGCCCGGGAACCTAGGAATAAAAGGGCTCCCTTTTTGGTATTGGATAACTTTATAAGGAACCTAGGACTGCAAAAAGGGAATAAGGGTACTACTGGGCATCCTAGATCTCTTGTCCATACCCTAAACCCGACAATAACCCGGTACTTCCTAGCAACCCAGGACGAACCTTTGAGCCCTACATCACTGAGCCTCCAAGTTGTCCCAAAACTGCCCTCAAGTCGGGTATTGAGGATGTATTATAAGGTTTGAGATTTGGGGATTGCGGTGTACAGGGTTGGGGGCACGAGATTTGGTGTCTAGGGTCGAAGGTATAGTGACAGTCATAGTGCTTGGGACACCAACTCCACCCCCCCCGCCCCCGAGAGCCTCCAAAACCCCGTAATTAAGGAATATACATTAAATCATAGTCGGATCCCTAATATAGTGTAGGGTCTATTCCTTGATTAAGGGGTTTTGGGGGCTCTCGGCCCCACCCTTCCCCCCGGCTCTCCTGGGTAATGCCGAAGTCCACCACAGAGAAGAGCAAGCAAATGAAGTCGAAGACGTTCCAAGCCCACTCAGGGCCCATGAAGTAGCCCCGGCAGCCCATGAGGTAGAGCTTGATACTTGCCTCGGTTTCTAGACCCAAGAGTAACTTGGGAATAAAAAGGGTGCCCTTTTTGGTTTAAAGGGGTTTATAAGGGAACCTGATCCCCAAAAAAGGGAATAAGGGCTTACTCTGGGTCCTAGGTTTGCCCTAAACCCTAAACCCTACCGAAACTTCAAGGCTCCTAGCTACTTACGTAGCACAAGTAACTCCCTATAGATCCCTTTAAGGAGCCCCTATAGATCCCTTTAAGGAACCCCTACAGATCCCTTTAAGGAGCCCGAGGCTGCAGATTCCATGCTTTGTGAAGGTATCAATCATCTAGGTACTGACGCACCGGTTTAGGGTTTAGGGTTTTGGGTTTAGGGGTTTAGGGTTTAGGGTTTAGAGTTTAGGGTCCCTAAACCCTGATAATCAGTGGGTTCTTGTTCCTTGAACCCGAACACCTCAACCCCCAAAGCAGACGAAACATAATTGCCCAAACACCCATAAAAGGCTGCTGTCGCAGGGCACCGAATTAACGCGCATTTCGATTGGTAGGTTCCGGTCTAAAAACTTTTTTCGGGGCAGGGGATGTCCTTCCATTCGAGTTTCGGTGACAAGAGAAGAAGCCCCATCACCCTGTTTTTCGGCAGAATCCTGAGTGCAAGGACCCCTGCACCCCTGCAGCACGAAAATAAACCCTGAACCCTACAGTTCCAGAAGCACAACAAAACCTCAACTATCCTTAAAAACAACATTCAGCTCATGCAACACTTACATAAGAGTGGGATCCTTCATTTGTAATCACACTGGGCCCTGACCATAAGAACACCCTAAAATTGAGACCTCCTCCACCCTAAACCTAAACCCTGACTGTTAGAACTTCTCAAAATCGCTGCTGGGCATCCTCCAAGAGGTAGCAGACCATGAAAACGGTTTCCTTAACAAGGGGTGCTGATGCAGCGTGGGTTGACAGGTTGCAGACCATGAAAACGGTTTCCTTTGCAGGGGTTCTGATGCAGCGTCGGTTTGTCAAATCAGTGCTGCATGTGTTCTGCTATCTAGCAAACTAATGTGTGTATATATATATATATATATATATAAATAAATAAATATATATATATATATATATACATACATAGCTATATATATACACATACATACACACGTATCGTGGTTTAAGAACCTTGCCCAGGCGTTGTCAAGGCTTGGTACAAGCCACGGCCAATTTTTCTATATAGCGGGCTAGTGTTCTTTAAACTCTATGTAAAGCTTCTGCCACCCAGAATGCAAAGGGTCCAACCTCCTAATATACTTTTCCAAATACCAACGTAAATAACTAGATCCGAAACGCAAGTACCTAATCACTATTGGAGGGAATTTGGTCGCCCAAATGTATAAGCAGCTGAGCTCATCGCTGTTTAGAAGGTTCGTTTTGGTCAACGTGAGGGTTAGCGTTCTCGGCTTTACAATGCAAAGTTCGGGGGTCTAGAGTTTAATTATAGCGAAGAGCACTCTGGGTTCAGGGTTTGGGTTCCGGGTTCATCGTTCAGGAATGGGTTTAGAGTTCAGAATCCAAGGCATAAAACAGTTAACTCCAGACCTAAACCCAAGTTCTGCGGCATGTGGTAGATCTGAGACTGCTCTGACATATTCAAAGCTGTGAGCCAGCTTTGGGCAAGTAGGACTTTACTTTCACGTCCAGCTCTAGACGAAGCGCGAGACCAAGGAGTGCGATCATGTCGATCGAACCCGTACAGGAAGAGCAAGCCGGCAAGGTGCAAAATAAGTGCGTCAGCAACCTAACCCCAAAACCCAGAACCCCGTGTTTGTGCGTGTGTCTGCGTTTGTGTCCGCATCTATCGGCAGTTGGTACTGAAGATTTCAATATGTGACGATCTGAGGGTTAAGCTGTAGCATCTAACATAGGCTTTGACATACACATTATTCTATCGGGGTTTGTAGGTCTCGCGAGCAACAGGCAGAATGCTACTATAGACACAAAACTTCTTTGGGTCACGTTGTATCACACTATATCTAACCCCCACAGTGAATCCAAGAAAGATAGAGCTTTAGAAGGGCGCGACAGGGCGAATGAATTGCGATCGACGAGCCTGTTCCGACTTTGACGGGTTGAAACATGAGAAACCATGACTAGGGTTTAGGGTATACGGTTTAGGGGTTCCGTTAAGGGCTCCTTCAAGGGTTCCTGTAAAGGGTTGTTTGAAGGGTTCTACAAGGGTTCGACAGAGTTTAGGTCTGCGAATTGCCATTTCGCACACAGTGTGCTACACGGCATGATGGACGCCTGACAGATTCTTGACTGACTTCTGAACCCCTCCTACAAATCAACCTTTTAGCCCCCTCAATATAGTTCATATGGAAACCCAAGAAGTTAATGTCCTAAGAGCCAACCAGAAGAATGCCAAGGATTGGAACCAGGCTTTCGGGGTGTGGAAGCCCTCAGGAATTCCGCTACGGCCCGCCCCAAAGAACACAAAAACAAGACCCCGATGTTGGGGGAGCCGTAGGCCCTCAACCCAAGAGTGGCCTAAAGCCCAACAAAACAAGAAAGTGCCAAGATTGAGTTCCAGCAAAGGCGCCATGTGCTCCCAGAGTTCGTCGTTCGGAACCCACTCCTGGAAACCACAAATATCATGAGGATCCCGGAACAAAAACACAACCATGTGGGGGCCTTGACATCGAGAACAGGGTTTGAGGGCATTCTATACCGTAGCCCTGCACAGACTGGCTTGAGGTTTAGGGTTGAGTTTGATTTGGGGGGGTCGTTGGTTGGGGAAGGGTTCTGTACTGGTGTGGAGATGGCTTTCAGAAAAGGGGCTGCATGGCTTTCTCTTTGCCAGCTGCTTTTGAATACTCTTTTACATAACCAGCTTTTTGGATAGGATGCTCCGAGAAGAAGACAATGTAACCAACAAATAAATTACCTTGTGCTGCCCAGGCACACCTTGGATCTTGAACCGGGTTGTGATATCTTGTCTGTAAGGATACGATAGGGGCCTTAACAATCCTGAATAATTGGAATACTAGGATGCTCAGTAACTTAGAAATAACAAGGGCTTCCTTTCTGGTATTGGGTAGCTTTATAAGGAACCTAGGACTACAAAAAAGGAATAAGGGCACTCGTGGGCATCCTAGAATGGGGTTTTCGGTGCCATCACCAGGCAGGCAAAACAAGGGCCATGAAATCCGAATGTAAACCTAAAGCCCTATGGTAGAAGCCGGAAAGTTGGAACATTAGTATCCTCATGCCCTTACGGTAAAGGATAAGGGATCCTAGCACTAATCCTCCTAAGCCCATGTTCCACCTTTCTGGCTTCTACGGTAACCCACTGTACTGAACTTCATGGTGTAAACCCTACCTTCAACGACCATAACCTACTTGTTCGTAGCTTCTTTTTGTCATCCCCAATATAGAGCTTATAGGAACACTACAAAAAGGTAGTTTTTGATAGGTCAAGATAACACCCATAAACAATACACCCTCAAATTTTCGGGGTGCAGCCAGGGTGGGCTTAGCACCATACGGAATACTTGGAGGATCATGGGACTTGGTAAGTAAGGGTAGAAGTACCTCAACTAGGTGCTACAAGCGATTACAAGTTAATTGAAGTTACCTTATTTGCAACCTTTGTTACTAAGTCCCATGATCCTGAAAACTTCAAACCACCAGAAATCCCTCATAGAACTCTTTAAGAAAGCCTTTAGCTCACTGGCCCAAAACCCAAGGAAACAAAAGTTGAAACTTGCAGAAACGACTGCTTTACATGAACCCCAAAAGCTGAAAAGTTGAGTTTACAGCCAATTACTAAATTAGGGATCCCTTTAAGGTAATTAGCTACGCTCCTCAGTCCTAAACCCTCAGATGCTTAAGATTTGGTGCTCTCCTGGAAGGCGAAGATGGCCGAGTTTAAAACCTGAGCTGTGCCGGGCTCCGAGTTTCAGGGATTTATATAAGGGTTCCATAAAGGGTTTCCTTTAAAAGTATCCCTTAAGGGATCCTTTGAGGGATCTATATAGGGTTTAAGGTTAAGGAGTCTACTATTTGCTTAAGAAACCACCAAAAAATAAAAATAGTAATCCCTATATTACTCCCATAAGGAATATATTGTTTTTTATTTTTTGGGGGTTCTTAAGCAAGTAGTAGTATAAGGGTGGTTGTCAAAAATAGGGTCCTTTTTTGGGTACCCTAAATATTAGGTGCCGAATTATAATCAGGACCCAAAAAGGGACCCTAATCTTGACAACCACCCATAATTAAGGCTTTAGGGCTTTAGGGTATAGGGGTTCAGGGTTTAGGATTATTGTCCAATGTGTAGGCTCGAAGGGCTCAGTATACGGCTCTTTTAAGGGCTCTTTAAAGGGCGACTATCTTTGGGGCTACTTTGAGCCTTAGGATTGAGCTCAGGTGCTTAAGGTTAGCCGTTCAGGGATTCGGCATCTGATCGCTAAGAGTTTGGGGGGGTTTGGGCTGGGATGGTTGGAACCGGGTTTTTGGGTTTAGGGTCGAGGGTTTATGACTATCGTGGACGTTCAGGCACGGGGATAAAGATTGCCATCTTATTGCTGCATTGGTTCAGCTCTCTCGTGCATCAGGAAAACGCTTGACTGTATGCCGCAGACAAAAGGACCCTAACCTGGGGGAAACGTACAGAAGCCTTTCATGTAGATCCCACCCGAACTCAAAGTGCAGAGATCATGATGCGGGTGGCTGTGACGCAACCCCAACAAATATGAAGAAAGCAACTTAACGAACAATCTGAGTCATGAATGCAGAGCCCTCTGTCCTGGCACTAGGAATTCAGATATAAGGTTCAGGATTTACAGCGTAGGGTGAAGATGAAGGTTTGTGATTCAAGGTTTACCACCGTTTGGGCCTGGGCTTGAGGGCTAATGATGCAGGGACCCAGGAAACCCAAATCCCAAATCATGTGATTGTTTCCCGGGCTCCGCATTACAACCTGAAGACAACCAAACAAAAACTAAGGCGCCACAGCGTGCAAGATAGGATCTCCATACCAGGACGCGTTTTAGGGTTTAGGGTTGCTATGGTTTGCTTAACTTTCCCAATGGTGACTGTTCTTGTTGTTACCATGGTGATCAGGTGATCATTTAACCACTTCCCGCGCTTCACGGTCCGAGGGGCGATCACAATGGCTGGCACCTGGGTAAGAAGAACAGTTTCGGATTTCTGGACCAGGCGGGAATAGACTAGGGCAAGACGCCTTGCACTGTGCTGAATGCAAATGGGTGGGGCTCTTGCGTAGAAGCCTGATTGGTGAATGTGTGTGTTGGAGGGTATCCTTTGATCAAAACCGGTTTCACATGCTCTCTGGCCACTCTGGCCCTAAACCCTAAACCCAGAAAGCCCAAAAACATTAAGGAATATAGCTTAAATCATAATATGACCCCCCTCATAGTTTAAGGTATATTCCTTAATTACGGGGTATTGGGCTCTCTGGGAACCCTAGACGGCTTCCCCGAAAGGCTGAGGCGATGTGGCTATTGGGCCTGTGAAGGGTCGGCAGAACATCACGAGCGACGAGAAATCGAATGGGTTGAGGGTTTAGAGTTTAGAGGTGATGGTTCTGGGGGTGCAAACTCGGCAAAACCTGAAAATATGGTGTCAAAGTCCGAAGGCAACTGGCCCAGATGTTCTGGTAGCTGGTGCCTCAAGGCATTGCGCCTACAGGTTGACCCTACAACGCCGCAGACACAGAATAGGGATATATCCGGGATGAGTGTTTAGGGTTTGGCATCCTTGCAGAGCCTTACACAGAAGTCCCCAATTGCCAGCCACGGGAACGATCTCCAGGGCTCGAGTAACGCACGCAGGCACCTGATGAACGTAAGGTGGCGAAACCCAAAGGGTGCAAAGTGCCCATACAGTAGAAGAGTAATTACTAGTACGGTTTGGGGAAGTATCCCCATGAAAGTGTCTAGGACCCTTTGGGAAAGGCTCCTGATATCTCAGCTTCGAGTGGAGACCCTAAACTCGACATGTTTTCAGAGTTTGGGCTTCAGGTTCAGTGGCGTCGTGGGGCTTCGCGGGGATGTGGAATTTGGGGGTTGTCCCAGCATGTTGCGGGCTGAAGGCTACTTAAAGGATCATGCGACTTAGTAACTTGGGTTATAAGTAAGGCAACTATACTTATAACCCCAAGTAAGGTACTCATAACCTTACTGCAGAGGCTTTGGTTTATAGGTGCCTGCGTGGCAGACTCGGTTTAGGTTGTGTCAGTGGGCGGCCGAGCTGGGCTTAAGGTTTGCGCATTTATCCTCCGACGAGGTGCTATAGTTCCTGATTCCTAAATGCGAAGAACTGTATCCCATATCTCTTATCTTCCAAATAGATATTTATAGATTCCTTCGGAGTCATAGAGGGTTGCGGGCTCTGGCCCTAATTACAAAAGTTGTTTGATACACATAAGCTGCTTATCGTTTGAAGGATCTCCGGCTTGCAGTAAGGGATGCCATAGTTCGGGGGCTGAAAGGTCTACAGCTTGGGTATTCCAGGGGCCTTTTGCTTGAGGCTTTGGGGTGGAAAGGATGGGAACCCCCTGATGGAGGAATCTCCCGGCCCTAAATCCTAAACCCTAAACCCTAAATCCTAAACCCCTAAGCCCTAAACCCCTTGGCCCGAAACCCTAAACCCCTGAACCCTAAACCCCTAAAACCCTAAGCTGCTTGGGGTCTTGCATTGAGGGTGTCGAGGGGAGGGCCTATGGTTTCGGGTTGAAGGTCTTAATATAGGGGCCTAAATATAATTAGCATAGGGTTTTGGGGGGCCATTATCCTATAAGTATGTCTTATGAGGAAACCCCCCCAAAATAGCGTTGGTAATTATTTAAACCCCGATATTATAGGACCCTACAATGGAACCTTATAGGACCCTTTTGTGACCATTTAAGCCCCTATGTTAATTCGAAGGGTCTTGGTTTCACAGTGTGTGGGGTTGAGTGTTTGGGCCTGAGCCTTCGCTGGAAGTTCGAAACTCTCTCCTGTATGGACTCCATGGAATGCATGGTTGAAGCTGTAGCAGCAGAGAAGGACTAGGAGTAGGAGCGGGAGTAGGAACAGGAATCGGAGGAGTTGTAATCGTACCAGTAGCAGAAAGCAGCAGGTTGAGCCGAAGGAGGAGGAGGAGGAGGAGGAGGAGGAGGAGGCGGAGGAGGAGGAGGATTTAGGATTTAGGGTTTAGGGCTTAGGGTTTAGGGTTTAGGGCTTAGAGGGCTTAGAGTTTAGGGATTAGGGCTTAGGGCTCAGGGTTTAGGGCAGCAGTGGGAGCAGCAGCAGCACTAAGTGGGAGTAGTCCGCAGTCGACGGCGACGTCCTGAACCCTGGCATCCTATAGGGAACTCCAGAAAGTTGGAATATGGTTTCAGGCAAGGATACCCTATAATTTACTTTAAAGGGGTTAGGATAATGATATTCCAACTTTCTGGCTTCTACTGTATAGGGGCTGCTGTATAGGGGCTGAGTACACCAGCCCCCCAAATAACAGAAAAAATGCTGACCTATTCAATTAGGGTAGGATTACATAAACCCCAAAAGGCCCAAAAGGTTAAGAGTTACCTACTCAGCTACTCAGAAACTTTCCCTACGGCTCTGAGGCCTCATAGTTTAAGGCTTTTGGGCCTAAAGACCCTATTTTATAAGGCTTTTG